CAGCATATTGAAACGATTTTAACAAAAACTCAAACCTGTAAATAAAGGTATTTCCTGTATGAAGATTGTAATTAAATTAATATCAGCTAGAACTCTTCAAATCGTTCTAAAAATTGATATGACAAAAAAACAATATAATCGTCTCTTAGACCAAACATTGTGAGAAAACAATCACCAATTTCATTGTTTATTTTCAATAAATCTATATTTTAACACTATCTGAAACACAATGACGAATAACCAATTCAAATAAGGCAGAAAAAATTGCTTGGTTCCTACTCAATTCTAAGGCTCGCTGCGAATTATTTACAAAAGCGTTATTCTTGTGTTTAAACAACAATGATTCACATAATCAACTTTGGACAAATTCAGTATACAAACAAATACAAATCAATGTCTCCATATCGATTAGTATCAGAAAGAATGTCTCAACGGTCCGGTTAAACATCTGTCGCATTTATTTGTAGAATTTGACAAATATCATTTTAAAAACATCAACATTATATTTTAAAAAACTTACCACTTATTTTAATATCATCTAATAAACCCTTCGAATCCTTTTGATCACACTAATAAAAGAGGTATTTTTGATAGGTTAATATTATAAGCCATCTAAGACGAAATTTTTTATGATCATTACAATAAGTAATCGGGACACAAGATACTGTATTCAAAATCGCAATTACGATAGACGTACATTCAAATTTACCTCACAACAAATTGTACTATTTACAAAAATAAGTTCAATCCATATTTTCACATTGCCATTTGGTAACAATCATAATCGTGAAATGTTAAAATTCAAAAGCATAAACTAAACTACATATACATTATATATGATAATAACAAAAATATAAAAAACCATGTGATGTACCGTTTGCGTATAAACAATAGATATAGTAACGTTACGACTTATTAAAACGCAATGACGCAAGAAAGGGGTTGTTTGATAAATATATGTTACATCTCTATATGTCACTTGACATTAGAACAAATCGTGTTTATACAGGGCTATTTTATTTAAATGCCAACAACCTGGCAGGACTATCATAAACATAATGACTTTTTACAATTTGATGTATAACTTTTAAAATAACTGGTTTTTTTTTTAGCAATTTAAAATGATTTTTAGTTTTTGTTATACTGTCGTATCTGTTTTGTTCACAAACGAATTTACGAAGGCGTTACGCTCGCACGCTGTATGAAGTACGGTAAGTTCTAACTAATATAGCGCGTGGCAGCTCTTCATTTACGCTAAACTGATCTACGAATTCAAACGACTACCGTACTATTTAAATTTATAGGAAGCCTTGTTACAGTAACCAAAACTATGTAAAATACGACGGATTAGTTCGTCTCACTCACATTCAGCGGGGGTCAGGCACGTATATATTAGTGGCGTGATTATAATGATAAGTGCTGAAAGTACTTGAACCTTTCTGATAAGCCAACATTTGTCATGTTTCGAAATTTAGCCTTCTGCGCAAGTTAGACAGACAGCCAAACCAGTTGCAACTTACTGTACTTACATATTGGTGTAATGCTTAGAATTATTAATTCCGAAGAAATTTTATTTCATTTGGAAATAAAATTAAACGAAACAATAAAAGTCGTAGAACGAATTTTGTTGTTTCAGAATAACCCTGTATAAATTAAAGTGCCTTTAAATGTATTTAATAAGGGGAAAAAATCTGCTTTCGCAGTTATTGACAATTTCCTCTGTGGTGCAGAATAAATTGATTTATTTTCGCTCTCTAATTTATTTTCATTACGTGTTCACAATTTGAAACATTACTGCATAATAAAAATATTAATTATTAAAAAAATATAAAAAATCGAAAACGCCAACTGTCATTAACAATCATATAAAAAGTTTCAACACAACTATAATAACCTAATCTGCATATAATAATAATTAAAGCAAACTTAAGACAACTACAAAAAAATCTCAATAAAGCATATGAATAATTTACAACTTTAACGCTGGTCACACTTTGAATGCATTAAGTTGTCACCACGTAACCTAAACAGTAAATAATAAAAAAAACTCCAACTAAGCGAAATACTGAATCTTGGCGAAAGCCAAAAGGGCTACGCTAATATACAAATATAAAAATCCATAAGACATGCTGTTGGTAAGGAATAAAAAACTAACCTGCAACCTGCGATTTTTGAGATTAAAGTCAAAGCCATCTAACAGTTTTACCTTACTACCTAGGCACAGTGTAAATATAAGTAGACAGTGGTGAAACTGCCTACAAGCGTTCGAAATCGCACGCACACATAAACACGCTCATCGACGAGCCGCCTAAGTGGACCTAACAGGACGCTCAGTAACGCGTAGCGCGTCGAGATGAGGGGTCACGTTACACGTTCCGCGATTGTTTTTATTTAAAAAATGAAGGAAATAAAAAATAAGTTTTTTTTATTTAGATGTTTTTTAAATACCCATTTCAGTATCATGCATATTTTCGGGTTGAAACTTAGTACGGTCCCACCCGAAAATGCTTGATAAACACCCAAAAACAGCCGCTCATGAGCACGCCGCCTAAATGCAGTGCCTACCTACCACGCGTCCGATCCGAAAAGAGAGTCTGCTCTTCGGCTATGTGTCTGTCAAAACTTGTACAAGGTTATGCCGTAATGTCAAGTTAAAGATCAACATAAAAACAAAGATTTACAAGTTGTGTCAATATTAAACTATTTCTCGTATGTTAAACTATCGTCTTTTGCTGAGATTAACCGATTTTTAACAGACTTCAAAAAATGAAGGTTATCAATTCGACCTGTGCGTATGATATATTTCCAGAACTGCCCAGTTTTCGCATATGTTATTTCTATATCATGTGGTGATAATAGAATAATATAAGTAGATATCACCGTCTGAACAAATGTGTATGTATATTTTTTGTTTGTTAATTAGTTATTACAATTCGATTGATTAATAATGTCAGAACTCCTTTTATATTCTGTAAAAGAAACATTCAAAATGACAACCCTATGGTTTCAATGGAGCGTAGGTATTTATTTTATCAAATAGGCTTAGTTTCCATACTGTGTCATTCTTATACTGTGACCTAGGTGTCGTCATCCTAGTGTAGAAAAAAGATAACAAAGAAGCCTAAGTTAAGGAAGTGAAGTTTTTTGCATAAATATTGTATTATCTGTACTCGTGAACATGAACTCGGGATTTCTGTCAGTGTATATAACAGTCAAATTCGTACGAAAACGTATCCAAAGTGAGACCAGACTAAGACTCGTCACAGACATTTTGATATACACAAAATGCGTGCCAAACTCCTTTTCAAAGTTATATAATAATCCATGGCTCTTAATTTACCACATACACCCTTTAAAGACTAAGTTTTCGTACACAAAATATGTCATTTATCCTAATGTTTTCTAACATTCTTTCTTCAATATTAACAAGAGTAGCTCCTCGTTTGTTTTGGAGATCGAAGGGGCGCGCGATACCTTATTATAACTTTATTAACACATTTCGTTAGCACATCACAGATCATCGAAAAGAAAATGGCGAAATCATGGATTTATAATTTTAAGCATTAATGCATTGAAGATAGAGTTGAAAATTAATTCCAATAATTTGTCATATTGTGGTAACGTGACTTGCTATTGTGTGTACTTCAATCTCAACTTTTATAATGCTTTATTATAAATATCAGTCGTAGTAATTTATATGTACATTTTTTATCGATTTGACAAAAATAACAAATTATTTATAAAATAAGTATGTCTCAGTTAAATAATTATACTGTCTCCGTCTTATATATAATAAGTCGAAATAAGTGTTGCGCTACTAGCAAAATATGGGTGATATATGTCAGTTTAGTTAATCAAATAGTTTACTAAGTTTTAAAAACAAAACGATATGTCAATATATTTTAACAATCATTATGTTGGACATCGTGTCTTTATAACTAAATATATTAAATTTACGCAGTTATTATACAAATTCCGAGTAAAAAGTACGTTTGCATATCAGTTTATTTATTAAATTGACTTACAAAATAATGTTTTTATACCGTTATTGCGTGTGAAATATACAAAATAAAATTTGAATGAAAAATATCAACTATTCCGACCGGGTATCAAACATGTAACATGAAATTTTTCAATGCAATTTCATTTTAATATTATTATATCAACATATCCATGTATTTCCACCAAATCAGGCACATCAAGCTAACAAAAATACAGCCTCGCCTATAACGCGCGCCCCGATAACTTAAAAATCACCATAAGTTACTTTGTACCTTATCCTATTCAACTCCTTAAGTTAAAACTTAAAACTAAAAAGCTTATTCCATTTGGCTTCTTTCAAGTTGAACCATAATTATGTCTTGTCATTTAAATCTACTTATATTTTTTTAGTACAAAAAATGCCTTATTTTGGTATCGCTGTTAATAAAATTCGTATATCATTTAATAAGGTACATTTAAAAAAATCAACACGACAAACTCATGCTTGAGCAACGACAGACAAACACGGTTCTCTATATAAATACACTAATATCTTACATAATTCATTATCAGATGATAAATGCAATAGTTCCGAAAAGAATCGCTTGGAACACACTAGCGCCAGAATACCGCACTCCAAGCGGTCATTTCCGGAACTAATTGTCAACTCTCCATAATTATTAAACTTTTTCTTCGTGAAAAATATTACATTGAGATCTCATTTTATGTTCTTTAGTTTGTTCTGTCGAAATACTGTTACATAATATCTATACATTATAATTATTTACGCTTACATTATTGTATCTACGTATTAAATAAATACAAGACATAAATTATTTGTTCACCTCATGTATAACGCGATTCACTTTAAAGTTAATGTGCGTATTTGTTTCTTTATTGTTCCATCCATCAAAACACTTTCTAAAAACAAACTTATGACACAAACGACATTAAAAAAAAAACTATAAACAGGAAGACGAAATGCTAATGTCAAATATATTTTGGAAGCTTTCTTATAAAACCAATATCAATTCGAGAAATAAAAATATAATATTAAAGTATAATTTATAAATGCTATTATGGCCACCATCATAACACAGTTTATTCCGTTTAAAATTAAAAAAATGTATATATACTCATATATACATATCTTTAATTTTAAATTAATTTAAAATTTTGAATTTATATATATAAACAACCAACAACATAATCACTTTCCATCACTTCACTTCACTCAATCCACAATTTCAATCCGGGTGATAATCGACCCACAAAGGTTTCTATCCCGGCGGTCAGTGTTACGAAACAAAAGCGCACATGCGTGTGTACTCGCTCAAGGCCTCAAAAGAAGCCGATCAACTCCTACTCGATGTTATTCCGAGGACCGTCGATGGGCATTGTGTGCAGAACTTCATCCAGTAATTGCAATGCCCTGTGTATTAGTAATATAATAATTAGCATTTGCAATAACAAATGATAAGAGTATTCTACTCTGAAAGGGTGCTTCCAATTTTTTTATTAATAAACAGTCTTACTTATAAACGTTGATTAAAATTAAGACACTGCTAAGCAATTCATTAACAACAAGATTCACTTATAAACGTTTATTAAAGTTACAACGCAACTAGCTGTCAAATTAAGTAGCGTCGTACCCTTGTTTAGGCGCTTAATGAGGTGTTAATTACCACAATGGCGGATCTTTGACACCTAAAAACCTATGTTATTTTTTGTCGATGGTCATGCCGTCTGGATTTATTTCAATTTGTAATATGTATTGAATAATTTAAAAATTGATATTTTTGAAACCGATAATAAAAAACGCGTACCAATATCCATAACACAAGCGTACAATGATGCTTAGTTTAGCTTCGATTAGCTATGAGAGTAGCTCGGTGGCGTAGTGGTTAAGCGCCGCGGCCCGCGATCGTTGTCGTTAAGCAACTTTCGCAGGGGTCGGTCACGGGATGGTTGACTAAAAAATTATTATCTCGAGCTACTCCCTGCTTCGGAAGGCACGTTAAGCCGTTGGTCCCGGCTGCATTTGCAGTCGTTAATACCCTCCAATCCGCATTGGGCCAGCGTGGAGGGTCATGGCCCATCCTCCTTAACCATTCGTAAGGAAGGCCTGAGCCCCTGCAGTGGGGACATAAAAGGGCTGATGATGATGATGATGATGAGCTATGAGAAATATATGAACAAGATGTTTTCCAGCGACTCTACCTGCGTAAATTATAGCCTATACCACACGTTCATACACGTGAGCCTCCCGTATACGGGAGAAAGAATTCCTAAAATAAATCCAGTAGTAAGTATCGGTGCCTATACAATGTAAAGAAACAGATCTTTATTTTTCTTTATAATATTAGTATAGATAGCACTTCAGTTTCTATGGTACCGAAAGTAGATTCTATAATTATTTCGATTCCACTCTCAGGGACAAAGATAAAGCCACGGGACATTAGACAGGGCTCCCAATACTTCAACAAGCGTTACCAGAAGTATATTTATTGAAAGCTATTCACAAAAATATAATAGGTATAAGAAATAAAAAACTGATATAAACTGTCGCTGTCAAAAAAATTGCTATTAGCTACAAATTCGTTAAGTATTGTTGAATAATTCAAGATCTTCAACGTAGGGGTCCACCTCCTGTCATGATTTTGGCATGTGACTGAATAAACACAATTGTATTATAAAAAAACTTTTTTTTTTTCATACCAGTTGATAACTTGCACTAAATTTGATTTTCAAATTAAATTACTCCAATAATTAAGATGAGGACTGGGTAAAAAAGAAATTCTATTTAGTTAGTATTTTATTTTTGATTGAATTTAACAAGAAATAACATAGATGATAGGCATTAAAGTTGAGGAGTGGGGCTTACTACGTCACAAGTATGTAGAAAATGTACAAACGTCATGCGCCATTTCAACTCAACATATCACTGTTATTTAATGATTACACAAATAAATACGTTTTTAAATACTTCAAAAATTTACCTGACGGCCAACAAACAAAAATTAGCCATCATCTATAATACCTACCGAAAAAGCAGCGCCATCTAGGGATCTGCTACAAAATAAATGGTGACTGAAAGAAGGTAACTGTTTACGACTAGTTTAACAGATAAGAGAAATGTTTTTACCAATTCGACTCACTTCTAATTTTACATGAAATGTTAATTTATAAGGTATATCATCAGTAAAAATTAGAACATCTATATTTATTTACCAATGTAAAATTTATTTCTGTCCAAAAACATGACTCCTTTTTCACTATTCCCCATCATCATGACAAGCCTATTAGTTTCCCCACTGCCGAGGCAATCCTTCCATATGGATGAAATCAAATAGGAAGAATCATAACCCATCAAGCGTACCCAGTAGGTATCAGTGGGTGTTAACAACTGCGGACGCGACCGAAAACAACAGCTTAACCCTCGAAGGTGAAAAGCGGTGGAGCTAAGGTAAAAAAAAGTTGATCACCCATCCCATGACCGGCCTTTGCGAAAGTTGCTTAACCCCGCTAACCAATGTATCAACCTATCAACTCCTCTTGATGTAATTGAATAATATAAAAGGAAAAAAGCGGACCCTATTACTAAGACGTCTGTCCGTCTGTTAGATAGTTGAAATTTTCACAGATTATGTTTTTTTTTTGCCGCTATTACAACGATTGAAATAAATGTTAAAAAACTAAGCCGGTTTTATTATTATTACCTGTGTAAATGTACTTCTACCCAGCAAGGCGTCTCCTTGATAGAAGTGCGAGGGTAATCTGGCCCCCATCCCTTCACGAACGACAGTCGTACTATACACAATCGTCGGAGATCGTCGACTCCTATACCCGCCGCTGCGGTCAAACCTAAACAATTCACCACGTTATCTACTATGCAAGTAGGCGAAATAAGAATAGAACTGTCATACGGCCATCTTGGCTCGCATCACCTTCAGAGTGTAAGGTATGCAAAAAAGGTAACGAAATAAGGGATTACAGAACACTGACAACATAATTGAAACGGACGTCATAAAATGGCGATGCTTTGGATTGCCAGCCTTAACGTTGTGAAAATATAGTCAACTTAATTTTTTAGTAATAAAGAAAAGACTAAAGAATTTTTTAGCAACATAAAAGTTGATCAAATATAACATTTAGAACAATTTCATTTTTATCGAAAGGGTGGATTGCCTGAACATTATTTAAAATTACACTCAGTAGTAGCGAAAAAGTAACACGTGGCTGATTAATTCATCAGTCCTGGGTAGCTCAGTGCTTTGAGCACTCACCCGGATTATGTCAAGGGTTCGAGTCCTAACTCAGAGTGTCAGTTACAAAGTGGATTTATTAAGCCTTTTTCATTAAGAAAACGAATGAATACATACATTTGTTCATGCTCGGATGCTGCGGCTGTATATGACCGGCGACAGCGGCTGCTTGTGCCGCGGCCGCCGCTTGTGCCGTCGCCGCTTGCGTTTGCATCTGTCTGTGGCACTGCCGCAGATCGAATACCTAACGGGCAAATGCAAAAACTATAATTTAACTAGCTGACCCGACAGACGTCGTCCTGTGAATTACTATTAATTCAACTCCGACCGAAGCATTAGTTTTAAACGATATTCAGGTTTTTTTTAGATCCTTTTACACGACGATATTTGCATCACACATTCTGTCAATTCTATGTCAAAGGACAAAATGTTACATTAAAAAAGTTTATATTATCCTAAACACTAAGGTTAGATTCACAGAACACAAAAAGACGTTAGAAGGGCCGGCAGTGTGGGCGTGGCAGTGTAGCCAGGATCGTGGACAAATGTACAGGATCGTGACTTCACCAAGCGATCGCGATGTTTAGTCATTCACGAACGCGCGCGCTGTAAGTACTGTGAAACACGCCACTAAAAGTGTTAAAAATGCCGACTTGCGCAGTTATTAATTGCAAAACAAGAAGTCCATCCTCAAAGTAGGTCCAAAGGAAGGATTTAATTCCATTAGTAAGTATAACACTTCTCAAATTTAGTATTTTTAGTCGAAATTCGTGAAATGTTATCAAAAGTGTGAATCACAAAAAATATTTCCAAGAAAATATACATTGCAATATACATAGCGTGGTACTAAGCACGTAATGTAAAGAACATCACGAAATCACCGTTTTAAATAGCAACATAATAGATTACGGTAAATGGCTAGTGAAGTGCCTGGAAACATTTAATCGATTCTAATGTGTTAGTTAGTAAAAACTAAATAAAAGTAAAGACGATAAAAGTAGTGGTAATAAAAAATAAATTTAATCAGATATTAACAATAGCAATAAATAAAATGTAACCCTATTCTTGACTACCATACTGACTTCGTTTGGTATGCATTTGTATATTAATTTAATAATGTGTGTGGTAATAAGTCTGTTTTTATATTCTTAATATTGTAACAGAATTTTTTTTTTGTTTTGAACCATTAACAACAATTCTTTTTAAATCATCGAACTCCGTTCGAGATAAGTTCCAAAAGCATTATTGTACTAATTTAATTTTTTTATTTTGTATATATTTATTAACATTATATTGTTTGTCAATATTACTAGTTTCATTTATCTGTTTACTTGATACGAAATCGAGTAACGTAACGTAAAAAAACTACCTACTATTATTATTTATAAACAAACATATTTATAAGCAAGTAAATATTTAAGCTCGATTAGTACCGATTCAATATTAGTTCATTAGTATTAGTAATTTAAATATTTCTTACCGCATCAACCAACTAATTAACAATTAATATCTAAAGAAAAAAGATAATGTCACATTTAATCAATACAATTCAATGTATATCCAAAATAATATAAAGAAATCGTTACTCTAGTATCCTTTCAATTATTCGACTTGTTGTTTTTCAATATCGATAGTAAATAATTTTATATCAATCACTATTGTGATATGTCAAATTAAAATGGCTTTTACACTTTTATTGCGCACTATAGATGTCTGTTATGGTTGAGCGTTATAGTTATAACCATTCTTATAGTTATATTGGAGCGTTCTGATTAGCATTTTTAAAATGCAAGTGTGTGCATATCTTTTGTATAATTGGTCTGATATTTCGTATTTCTAACCTCTTTTCCGTGTTCTTTGGTTAGATTAGAAATAATTTTGTGTGGTGGTTAAATATTCTTAAAATCGCAAATTTTCCACAGATTTTTTTCTTTCATAAGAATAACCTTCTACTAACTGACTACTCACTAACACAACATCATCGAAATCAGTCCAGCCGTTCACGTGTGATGGCGTGAACAAGGTAAATAAGATTTAATTTTTATATATTTAGATTCTAGATTTTTAAAACTGTTCACTCAATATCTAGATATTGTTCAAACTGACGTCTTTACATCGTCTTAATGTCTTTACAAAAAAACTAAATTATCTACGAGCGAATCGAATCAATCTTAATTTTATTATACTTACGAAAATAAGTGTACATGTTACAAATAGTCTCGGTTTTGCAAACATTAAATAATAGTCGGTGGACATTATGCAAGAAGCAATCAGTTATAATCTTAGATGTTACATCATTTAGTAGTTTTCAGATATATGTTTTGTAATTAAGTGATAAAAATGCATTTACTGTTCATAATTTATTTTTAAATAAAGACGAAAATTTGGACAACCTGTATGTATAAACAATTTTTTGAGAAGTAACTAATTTTTTTGTATTTTCTGAAAGACTGATCTGATTTTAAAAATTCTTTCACCTACGGGAAGCTAGATCTCACTCGGGTAATATAGACCATAACAGCTCAAGCGCAAGTGTGTGATAACACGGTTTCTGAATTGGGAATTTAAAGTTAGGCATATCTCAAACAATAAAAATAAAATAATATAAATAAATAAAAATTGAATTTATTTTCCGCGCAAATACAGGAACATGGTTACATGTTTATTGACTAAACACAATTTACAAAAAGAAGATTGCCTGTCGACTTTGTGAGGAACTGGTGTCTGTAAGGGACGATAGCCTGAAGTACAGATCACCAGGACCCACCCCACGGGAATTATGACTATTTTCGCATTAAATGACTAAGTAACTATTGTGCTAATTTTACTACGTTTTTAAATACTTAAACCATTTTAAAAAGTCACTTAAACAGGTTTGCGTTTCTGGTTCTAATTCTTTATATGATCAATTGATCGCAGTTTGATATAACTTAGACTTTTTAGTATATAAAAAGTAAAAAAACAAAAAAATATTCTTTTCACAATTCAGAAACCGGCCAATAGACTATATTCTAACAGCTAGTACCTTGATACAAGCGGAGGGGTATATCTTGTGGACGGCATCTCCTGGTGCCCGTCCAGCCTCCCTGTCTAGATAGTAAGACTGCACGAACACGCTATGATCTGATAAACACCGGAGCCATACGTCGCCTTCACCGCGTAAGTCCAGTTGAACGCCTTTACCGATGTGCAATCTTAACAGAAACGAATATAATTCGTTATATGTTCTCATATTAGAGTTCATTAATATCATTTTATTTTAGTATATTATAAAGCGATCTTATAATCGTTTTGTTATCGTCCTTGTGGTACCTCATCATAATTTTTGTTTGTACACGAATAAAATATTTCATATTTGCAAAATTAACTTGCAAGTATAAAATGCGGATTACAAGAACCGAAACGCGAACGGCCATGACGGAGCATCGTGTGACGTCACATTTCAATAAACTAAACGTCAACGTCTTTGTTGCGAGTGCAACCTGCATACGTGGCATGACAAACTAGAAAACGTTTTGTCAATCCCAAATGTCACTTTTCTCCGGTGCATTCATGCGGAATCTCACTCTCGACCAGAGAAAATTGTTTTTTCTCCGGTAGGTATTTGGTGTTAACAAAGCGTTTCTCAAGTTTGTCATGCTACGCGTGCACTACTTATGTTTATTGAAATGTGACGTCACGCCTTATTAGAGCGTTTCCTTTAGTCACTCACATAATATTTTGTCATTATTATTTTTTCGCCTACCCTAAAGAATAGACGACATTGGTATTTATGTGAAATAGTAAACATACATAATAAATTGTTGCAATAAAAAGTGAATATAATTGTCTCACCTCGCTCTTTCACTCTGTTCTGTTCTGTGCACATTGCTAAGAGCACCTAAACAAAATCTGTTACCGCCCGATGGATCGACGTAGCCGTCAACCTAACAAGACAATTAAGAATCATCAATATTATATAAGTAATTTTTTTGCCTTAAGTTAACAAGAAATTACTCAGATAATTGGCATTGAGTTAATGGGTAGATGTAGAAAATGTACATAGGTGTGACGTCATATGACAATTCAACTCAATGTATCCCTGTAATTTATTGAATAAAAAAAATAAGTTTTTAATATTTTTCATTATTATATCGAACAGGCAAAGAAAAGTTTCAGATATGATCCCCTTCAGATATTTCAACATAACTTAAATATTAGCATGTATGACATTATACATTCGACGCTAGAAAGCAAACACGTAGTAACCTGCAAAACTAAAATGGATATTTAAAGTGAAAAATATTTATATTTTTCAAAAAAAATCTTGTTTCCATATAAATTGACTAAGGAACACCTTATTTTGTTACCATAGACGTTTATTAGTGTGAAGAACAATTTTGGTTTTGCGGGTTACTACGTGTTTGCTTTCCAGCGTCGCAATATTTTCTGGATTTGATAAGATCCATGCCTAAAAAAATTATAAATGGCAAATTACCGTAACATTGGGTCTACTTGATGGCACTTTGAATGTCTCGCCAACTTGCGTGTCCAACTCGAAGTACGCGACTGAACACCAGTATTCAGGCGCCGGTTGATTGGACAGTAAACCACCAGGATTGCCGTTATCTATAGTAAATATACTGTACAGTCAACAGCGCGTCACACGCACGTCAGCACGCAAAATTTGTCATATTGATTTGATTTAGAGATTAAATTTACTTCTTAACTCCAAAGATATACAATAAAATCAATAGCTTAATAAAAAAAACATACTCTCGCAAAGTGAGAGTTCAACTCATACTCTCATAACATACAACATACTACAGATACAGTAGTAATAATAGAATACGTGTTTTTTATTTAAATTTGAAATATTGAACTTTGTGAAGTGGATCGTTGTTTTATATTCAGTTGAATGTGGCTGTAACATAATTTTTAAACTACATCGGCTGCTTTCTGCATGTAATGTGTAAAGTTCCAATAAAAAAAACGATTAAACAACCTTAACTAGCACTCCTACGCACGCGTATATGTGGCCAAGATATAGTAAGTTAAACTAATGTTATATACAAAAGTATTTGTGGCATCAATGAAATTTGCTAAACTAAAAAGGGCGCCATATCAAGGTCCGCCTATTCAACTATTTAATATTTTAATTATATTTTTCCTTTTCACTTACACTGTCTTACACTGTCTTCCGTAAAAATATAAAGGAACTTAGAAATAAAAACAAAATACTGGAGTCATTTTTAAGTGAGGAACGCTTCATTCGCAATCGAGATATTCAACAATAAAAACTTGCGCCTGCAACTATGTTATAAATTTAAATCAAATTGTTTTTTTTTTTCATAATACAAATGGACATGGTAATTCAATTTTGTTTTATAATACACTAATTACAGGATGAATGGACGTATAATTAATCCTACCAACTCACAGTAATGATGGTGATGCGCAGGCGCATCTATCGGGACGGGCGCGGCGGGGGGCGGGGCCAAACTCTGCGTATACGTCAACGTGTTGTTACCAGTCCACGTGCCTACAATAATGCATAATAATCTAAATACACTTGCCACATCATCAGTCTTTTTGTTGAGACCCAGTATAATCCATTGATTTTAATTTCGCGTCTGAACATTGCTGAAATTCAGCAACTTACGCGAGGGCCGGTCATTGGATGGGTGACCGAAAATTTATCATCTCGAGCTCGTCCGGATATTCATTGGAGTGCACTTTAAACCATTGATCCCAATTAGACCTGATTGGTGAATTATAACCCATTATTACTGATCGACTCCATCCATGGGGAAAGTCATATAGGATGAATTTCACTGTACACTTTTAGGCCACTCTCAATCCATCACTGTCCCTATTAAAATATAACTAATTACAAACTTAAATTTATCAATAACGTTTTCGTAATTATCATGACTGATTATTACCTTAAAGTACAAGGGTTTTAGTTATACAAAAAGTACAACACAAAACTCACCTTGTTGTTGTTGCTGCTGTTGCTGTTGTTGCTGTTGATTTTGTTGTTGCGGCGTACGATGCGGCAATGGGCTTGGTTGAGGCGCGGGACTACTTGCCGCCGCGAAACCATTCTGCTGAGAAGTTTCTACTACCACCGGCGATACGGCTACAGTACCCGCTGTTAATAACGACAGTTGTTTTAATAATCAATTGGACAGCCTAAAATATCGTATCAATATTCAAACGATCGGCCTAAAACGAAGTATCAATCGCTTGAGCGGCCTAAAAGATCGTATCAATGTTCAATAAATCGGCCTAAAACGTTGTATCAATATTTTATCGATCGGCCTAAAACGCACGCACGCAGTACTCTCGCACGCTTATTTAACTTCTAAGTAATTCATAATAATTATTCCAAGATTGTTACTGGAGGCATCTCAACACAAGTATATTAATTACTCTCTGGGATTGTATATTATTATGTATAATATAATAATTATTCTCCATAAATTAAAACATGTATGTACTTGGAAATATAAACAATTTTTATTATTATTTAAAACGTCATATTTGAAACATCCAGTGATTCTTTGAAACTGACATTTTTAAAGAAGTGAAATTATGGCTACACATTCTATACCATAAGAATGTAAGATACAAACTATTCAATCTTTAATAATAAAATGTTTTATTTACCAGGTAATGTCTGCGTCAGTTGAGTATCAGTTGTGGTCTGTTCTGTGGTAAAGAAGGCGGTTGTGGTGCCATCTATGAGTGGAGTGGTACCACCAGGTGACATAGTGACAGGTAAAGCAGCTGAAAAATTATTACTGAATATCAAACTGATACTTAACACTAGTATAAAAACATGTTTGGCATAATAATAACACACTTCAATATAGAGAACCTAATATAAATATTGTCCATTGACATAATTGGAAAGAGAAAACCTCTCGATTTCGATTTTGTAGAGCGCTGTCTCCGTCGCACGAAACAACAGTGCGGGGTGTTTCTTAAGTACTTTTTAAACTTGATTGATCTGAAATGTATATCCATTTAAACTTTTAAACGGATATACATCTCTGATAGACAAAGAAATTTAATAAATACAGAATAGTTTGTTATTTGCGTATTCTGTATCTCGTTTACGGTTCGGTATCTCATAACGTAATAAGCGTGATAGTTATATAATTTTCCAATCGGGTTTCTAAATGTTAATTTCCTGAGTAAATGAAATTGCTAAATGTTTCTTTGAAGCAATATAATATCGCACTGCTATTGTAACTGAAGTGTGCGACAGGGACAACCTCCATACAGTCGTAATTAATCATAAGTTGATTGTTGATACTGTTATTAAAGTTTCTTCTGAGCTGTCAAATAAATTATAACATCAAAACTGTAAATTCATGCACTATTTATAAATAAATTGACCAAAACTGAAAAAAATCAAGTGGATGTTCACCTATTACAATGTTAAACATACATAAGGTAAAAGTCCATTTTCCTGTACATATTACAATACACATTGAATAGCTTGAATTTAAGATCTTGAAGTTGTATAAAAATTTTAAAACTCTCAGTATTGTGTATAAAGTGAATGTACATATATTATCATTTAACTGTAAACTGTTACTCAAATAAAGAGTCTTTAAACATAAAATAGTTACTAAATAATATGCGAAAACTATTGAAGAACATGCAAGTAAAAAAAGTGCAAAATAAAATAAAAAGCTTACGATGATTCATTCTTTTTGGCAGCCATATCGCTCTCGCATCCATTGTATCAGGAGGCTCCAATTTTGGAGCTATGGTACGTTGTTGCACCATAGCCATCTGTGGGGGGCTCGGCATCGCCATAGTCTGGTTTATATTAGGCAACTGTGGGGTCCCAGGCGACATCTGAGTAGGTGCCGATGCCATTCTAGGCGACGCCATTTGTGGCACATTCGTCCCCATTTGAGGCGTGGGCGGCCTCAATTGGGGTTGATTCGGCCCCATTTGAGGCGTCCCCGGTCCCATTTGAGGTGTGCCAGGCATGTTTCCTTGCACCATCTGCGGTGTAGGCATTTGGTTGCTGGGATGTGAGATCATTTGTTGGGGCCCCGGAGAATGACCCATTTGTTGTGGAAGCTGTTGGGCCCCAGGTCTTATTTGCGGCCGAGGCCCGTGCGTCGGCGAGAACATATTCGGAACGCCCTCTGGCGCTACACCAACAATAAAGGCAAAATAAAATTATCATGCATCGCAAATAAATATACATCTTATCAATAATAAAATCTGCACATGTACAAAATACACAATCACACAATCAAGTCATAGAGATCTTAAACATGCATATATATGGTTACACGCCTCTTACGGCGTGTTCCATGCTATCAGACTGGAACACGCCGAAAGAAGCGAAAGAAAAGTACTTTAGAATTCTTTGTATACAGACATGAACCGCACGCGCCGAATCGTCAGAATTCCAATTTCATCTGTCATTGGTTAATTACTTGACTACTATCAGAGTTTCTCACCAAACAGTGTTATTAAATAAAGGAAAAACATATCTTTATTAATTAAATTAAATTGTTCCGTGAAAATAATCAGCTACGCGATATTTTGAGCCATGACATTACATGTTAATAAACATAATTACTAGTTGTACTCGCAACAGAGACGTTGACATTAAGTTTTTGCTCTGTCACGACTGCTCATGTTACTTATCTTGTAATTCACAGATACTAAATTTATTATATATTCAAAATTAATTTGCGTTAATATTAAATTATTTCATAGATTAACTTACAATTTATTTTAAAACAACAAATACTGTCTAAAGTTTTAACATTTTCAGCATATTTCATAAGTAATTGTTATAACTGTAAAGTAGCCAATTTCCCAAGTGAAAAGACAATTCATTTCATTTCCCACCTGCAACTCCAATTGTGTTCAGCATTATTCAAAAACAAAAATAACTATAACATTTTATGCCAAAACTACATTTCATGATTATACTCGACAAAAGCATCTGATAGCCATTTAGACACACATTTAAATTTGATTGATGAACACACCCCACTAAATGGAATTAACATATTGCAACAAGTTATCGCCATTTTATATCGCCATATCCTTGTCTGGCGCTCAAATTCACCTTTTGCTAGAGCGAGATAAATAGCGTTCTCGCTATTAACACTTCAGAGCCACTAAATATGATTGAGCAAACGAAAGAAGCCGATACAATTCTACTAGCCATAACTCAAACCTTAGTACATATATTTTTTACACTATAATCTTTGAAGTTAGAGGATGTAGTGACTTTTTCTATTCATGATAGTGAGTTCGTAATTTTTTTTTTTACTTATTGCTACAAAAACTAATAATACTACTAGGAAACAAATAGATGTTATATATATTTTGGATACACTAATCTTGTCATTCAAAGTTTCGTACTGATGTCGGGGTCATGTATGTCATATATCTTATATTATAGGTAATAAAAAATAAATAAAAAATTACAGACTGCTTACTTTGTCCTTGATTGATAATGATATTTGTTGTCTGGAACTGTTGGTGATGATGAGGGATAGTGGAATGGTGATGTCGTGGACTGGTAGCATGGTGTTGGATGGTCACCAATTCACCTGTGTCCATGTCCATACCGTTTCCACTAATGCCAGCGGTGTACTCATCTTTTACGAGTCTGCTCGGTCCGGACTGTAGTGTCAGTCCTGAAAGATCTGAAATATATTATTGATAATATAGCAGTACATCATCTAATAAGATGAATTATGGAAAAAATTGAACCATCAATTTGTTTAGTTGAGGTATTTATCCAACAAGGTTATTAATTATAGGTAGCTAATTATTAAGGAGCCAGATAGTTAGCATGTTCGGTCTGCATTGTGGAAGTAAACCAACTTTTCTAAGGGCCGGCATGAATAACATTCATCATCATCATCAGCCCTTTTACGTCCCCACTGCAGGGGCTCAGGCCTTCCTTATGGATGGTTAAGGAGGATGGGCCATTACCCTCCACGCTGGCCCAATGCGGATTGGAGGGTATTAACGACTCCAAATGCAGCCGGGACCAACGGCTTAACGTGCCTTCCGAAGCACGGAGTAGCTCGAGATAATAATTTTTTGGTCACCCATCCCGTGACCGACCCTTGAGAAAGTTGCTTAACGACTACGATCACGGGCCGCAGCGCTAATCCACTACGCCACCGAGCTACTGAATAACATTGTGACCACTAAATTGATTAAAAACAATCCTTTAAATAAATTTATGTATCCATAATACTGTTGAGTGATTTTATTCAAACTTTTAATAATGTTATTTTATTTAATGTTAATTTATTGATGTTCATTTTCGTTTTTTCGTTTTTTGTTCGTTCATTGTCTGCAGAATAATATTGTGATTCAGGTTTTTGTGTGAACTGTCCTATTTTTGAAGATCTTTGTGACCAACAAATTTATTATTACTATTAAATAAAAAATATTACTTCTATGACAAAAAATTCTAAGCAAATAAGCAAGTAATTTGAAGTACATTGGAACATCCTAATCACTCTTATATAAATGTAAAAAACTTGTTTCAAAAATGTAAAAATAAGGGTTATTTTTTGTACAGATTATGGCAGTTGTACATACCTATGCCAGGGGACACAACCCTCTCGTAATGATATGGATTCACACATACAGAATCACATTTGAGGTCAAATGCAAATTGACAAAACTTGACATGTTTCAATTCATTTTTGTGAAGGTCAGGCCAACGCCATATACGTGCATAGATTACATGTGGGAACCCCTTGCGACCGGCTACCTGCAATAAAAAAATAGAGCAAGGGTTATTATTCTCATTGTAGAAGTTAAACAATGAAAAACTTATTAATTTTATGTAATGTCATTGAATTCTTGGTGTTTGATTACCAAAAAGAGTGATAGCTTTTTAGTTAATTAATTAGGCTCCTTGTGCTTTAGAAGGCATATTATTTTATCTTAGCAGATGACTGTAGATGTACTGTGTGTAGTCTATAGATAACAGCTCGTAGCAACCCCTACTAATTGTATAGGATGGGTAGATACATTTTTCTTTATGAGGAAGTCCAAGACTTCAACCTCAAAAGTGAAGACGACAATAAACTATGTATGTATTAGCAAATATATATATATTTTTTTTAAGTCATAAAACTGTACTAATTTTCTTTACATTCATTTAAAAGCCATTATTCAGAATAATAATAATTTAGTGAAGAATAAAATTGAGGATTTCATGTATTTCAAATTTAAATTCCTACTTGACCAAAGGAAGAACTATATAGTAACAGAAAATTAAATCTGAAACACTTAATAACCTTTACAGTAAAGTCTAAAAAGATTTACTATTTTTTGAAGTAGTTGTAGTTTGATCCTCACTTCTTAGAGATCATTTAGTAGTAGTACTAATATCTATACATACACACAAAGTATTCTTGTATAATAAACAGACCTGTAACCTCCCATCCAATGTTCTCTGTATAGTAACACATTTGCTTGGGTGAGCACCATTTGTTGTGATTGCAGTAATCAAAGAATCCAACTCATCCCTTTTCTCTTTCAATTTCTTTACAAGTGACTCTATGGCACGTTTGGAGAAACCTTCGCTTTCTCCACCCTGGCGATGACACATCAGCGAATGCACGATGCTCAAGCAAGCATCAGCTGATGTTGGCGCGGCGGTATTCATGGCTAAAATGTTGATATTTGTTGCAAGACAAAAATAAAAAGTGACTTATCATTTCCAATTAATAAAATACATGGTTTCCTAGGTGCGTATGAAGTGCTGAACTTGCATGGTAGACCTATTAGTAATATGACCAGCATCTTCGTGGTTATGGCAAACAAACGCTTGCATAAACCTACGTTAATGTTTAGGTGACCAGCAAAACAAACTTGTTTCGTTTAGATGTATTATTTAATAAGGAAATATAAAAATAATACCAAATGTTAAATCGAAAATAAATACTTTAAAAAATAAGTTTATAGTAATCCAATAACTCACCTTTTTTGTGGATCGTATTCAATCTTAGTTTTTTGTATAGCACATAAAAGTATTATTTCATTTCATTCATGGATAATTCAATAAAAGCAATTTCATTTTTTTTTTTTTTTTATATAAAGGTTTTACCGGCCCTGGCTTCCATGGCCTTCAGCCGTGTCTTCATATTGAGATAATTTATATATTTACAAGCGTTTCCTTTATATATCTGTATAAGTATCTATATATTTCTGGGATCTGCAATAAATCTTGTAATTGGCGGGGTACATCTTTCACAGTTTTTCCTATATTTGTTGCTAATATTAGGCGTTGCATAGCGAAATTTGGACATTTCAGAACGAGGTGTTCAAGATCTGCAATTTCGTTTAGTTGACAATATTGACAGATGTTGCTTTCAGTCAGTTTTATTTTAAACAAAGTTGCTGGGATTCGGCAGTGTCCTAACCGCAATCGGTTGATGGTGCTATAAAATTCTCTATTAACAGCTCTAAAAGGTATATACCATGGTGTTTTAGGTATGGTCTTCTGTATACCTCCGTACCATCTTCCTTTTTCGCACTTATCCAATATCCAAAATTCTTCCCATAACTCCATTACCTTACCTCTAATATAAGATTGGCAATCGTTTAGATGAAGTTCGTAACTTAAATCTAATGTACAGAGTTCACTATGAGTAGCTTTATCAACAATTTCATTCCCTTGAATTCCTACATGAGAACGAACCCAAGTAAAAGTAATATTTTTTCCAATCATATTTAACTGATATCTAATATGTTGTATTAAATAATTATCCTTATAGTGCCTACTTACATTTTCTAATTTAGTAAGTGCACTAAGAGAATCTGTGACGATCATAAACTTAGATAAAGTTTTATCTACATATTTATTTTGAATATAAATTAAAGCTTTGAGAATAGCATAACATTCAGCAGAAAATACACTGCTTTTATTATCAATTTCATAAGTTATAGTAATCTTTGATACTGAATCATACAGTGCACATTTAACTTTATCTGTAGTTTTACTACCATCTGTATAAATTATTATATAATCTCTATATTTCTGTAATAATTCTAAGAAAGAAAATTTATCATTTGCTCTATCAAATAAAATGTTTTGTAAATTAATTTTGTACTCATATTTATAATATGGTAATAACAGATGCTTATTTAAATTTGGGAATAATAATATCATGTGATTCATTATCCTTATTAGATTAGGTGGTTTATTATTATGTATATTAAGAGCAGAAACATACACTGCATTACTAGCTTCACCTGTATAGCCAGGGATTGTTAATTTTTCAATTAATTTTTGATTTTGTAAGTATATATTTTTAAGACAGAATCTTTCTGCTATTAACATTCTACGTATAGCTAAAGGCATTATTTTTGTTTCTACTTCCATAGATCTTATTGGTGTTGAACACATTGCTCCTGTTATAAGTCTTAAGCATTTATTTTGTAAGACATCCAGCTTCCTAAGTAGGTGTGGATTCACTTCATAGTATGCTAAACAGCTGTAGTCAAAATGAGATCTTACTAAACTTTTATACAAAAGACTTAAAATCTTAGGATCAGCACCCCATGTAATTCCTGCTAAGCATCTTAATATATTTACAGCTTTGTGAGCATTCATAAGGATATAATTAATATGACTTTGAAAATTTAATTTACAATCAATCACTACACCTAAAAATTTTTTTTCATTTACATGAGGTATATTTACATTGTTATATTGAATATTACTATTTACAGATGTACTATTATTTACAACTAAGATGGAACTTTTTTCTGGATTTATATCAAGACCTAAAATGTTCTTATAGAAGTGGTGTAATTGGTGTAATGCTGAATTAAGGTAATGTATAGCAGTGTTTATATTTTCATCAACACAATAAATAACTAAGTCATCTGCAAACTGTAATATTTCTATATTTTCTTGTGTTACATATTGTAAAATTTGGCTAGTATATATATTATACAGTAATGGCGATAAGGTTCCACCTTGAGTTGTACCTTTTTGTGCATATTTTGGGCCATAAAGACGATTGTTAAATTTTACATATACTTGTCTATTATATAAGTAATTGAATATCCATTTACTAACATGGCCAGGAATTTTCAATTCCTGTAATATGTTTATTAGCTTTTCTAAATCAATATTATCAAATGCACCTTTGACATCCAGAAAACTACAAACAACATTTAATTTACCACTTGCTTTTGCACGTTTCAGATCAGAAAGTAATATTGTAAAACTATCTGCTGAGCTACGCCCTCTCCGGAAGCCATATTGCACAGTTGGAATTATACCATAATGCTCAACATACCACTCAAGTCTGTTCTTCAACATAAGTTCGAAGAGTTTGCCTATACATGAAGTGAGAGAAATGGGCCTATATGAATTATAATCTGAGGGTACTTTATCAGGTTTCAAAATGGGGATTATACACTGAGTTTTCCATGATTCTGGAACTAACTGTTTACTCCAGAGGGTGTTAAATATTTGCAATAAAATATTCAAAGCATTATTATGAAGATGTTTAAGTAAGATATATGGATAATCATCCATGCCAGGAGCTGTATCACGTCTTGAGGAGAGACTATTAATTAATTCAGTATGTGTGAATGGCTCAATTATAAACATAGATTCTGAATTATTATTATTATTGTTAAAATAAGTTTGTAAGTTATCTAAATTTATATTATTAATGTGTGCATATTTGTTTAGAAATTCTGGTATAAATTCATCATTTTTGGAGTAGTTACTATAGACTTTAGCTCTTTTGAACTTTTTTATCATTTTCCAGATTTTACTTAAAGGTGTTGTTCTATTGAAAGATTCACATAGTTTCAACCAATTCAGCCGTTTCTGTTCACTAATAACTTTTTTTTTTTGGGCATCTGTTTTTTTATAATTGATATAATTTTCTAGAGTTGGTTGATTTCTATACTGTTTTAAAGATTGTTTTGTTTTTTCTACTGCTAGTTGACATGTTTGATTCCACCATGGAGCTGGAAGTTTAGTTTTGATCATATGTTTGGATGCCGATTTTTTTGGTACATATTGATTTCTTAAATTACTTAATATTTCGGTGAACAAATTATATAAAGTTAAAGGGTTGTTTTCATCAAAATCAATAATGTTAAATGCTGTTTCGGATTTTAAATAAAATTCTACCCAGTTTGCCTTATTATAAAGGAATTTATCTTCATATTGCACTGACATATATTTTGGAGCATCTATTGTCAACTCCACTATGGTAGGCAGGTGATAACTGCCCAGAGGGTCATCATGTACTCTCCATTCACAGAGGGGGGCTAAATTCGGGCTCACTAAGAAGATATCTATGGCTGACGGATTTTGATGTGGTCGATTAATTGTTGTATAATCGCCAGTATTAAGTATGCATAAGTTATTATCATCTAACCAATTGTATAAGGCTTGTCCCCTACTATTAATGTCCAGACAACCAAAGGCAATATGATGACTGTTAAAATCACCTGCTATAAGTATAGGTTTTGGTAGAGACTGAATTATGTTATTAAGGCTGCTAATATCAAACCTAGTGTATCTAGGAGGAGCATAAATACATAAAACTGTAATGGTACCAGTGTTTACTGTTAAAGAAATTGCTACATTTTGCATTTGTTCATAAAAAGGAGTACTAAGAAGTTTGTATTTCAAATTATTTTTTACAAGAATACCTACCCCACCATGAGAATTAGAAGCATTTCTAAAGTGGGTTTGATAATTTATGAATCTAATATTGTCATGTTTGTCTGTTAACCATGTTTCATTAAGTAAGCATATATCTATATTATTAGTTTCTAGAAAAGAATTCACTAATGCTTTTTTACTCAAGAGACTTTGTATGTTATGTTGAGCAATAATGATATTTTGTTCATTTGTACAGGCCATTATTTAGATAATTTTGATGAAAGAACGTCTTTAATTCTTTTGGTTGTCAAAGGTGCATCATCCTTTTTATTTCCTAATTCTACTAATGTTTGAATGAGTGCATTTATTATTAAGGGATTATTTACAATGTCAATAAAACTTTTATTATTAACCTCTATCTTATTATTTACAATATTATTTTCTTTATTTTTCAAAGCTGGAAAATTATCTTTACTTTGTGTATAAGAAGAGTCATTGATCACAGCTGCAGCATATGTCTGTTTATTCTTTTTTTCTAAATTTTTCTTAATTTTTATTGGACATGTTGCTGAGATAGATAAATGAGACCCTCCACAGTTGATACACTTAATATTTTCAGGCATATTACATTCTTTATAGAAATGATCTCCACTACAAATTGAACATTTTTGTGTTTGATTGCATATTTTTGCTGAATGATTAAATTTAAAGCACTTAAAGCATTGTAGCAAGGGTGGTGTGTATTGGTGGACCTTGTATCGCCAGAGATTTAAATACACGAAGTCTGGTAAAATAGTACTTAAAAAAGTAACACTTACAGTCTCTGTTGGAGTTAATTCCCCATTTACCTTTTTCTGAAATCGTCTCACAGATAATATTTCATATGGTGATGAGAGCTGTTTGTACAATTCTTCATTAGAAATTTCTTTTGGTATATACCTTATGACACCAATTTTCTCAACTGACTGAGCTGAAATATATGCCTTGAAGTTATGTCGCGTTAGAAAATCCTCTGCATTAAGAAAATTATTGGCTGTGTTTGGTTGTCCAAATATGACCCCTATCTTATGTGCGTTTATTCTGTTTAATCGTTTTATTCCTTTGATATCTCTTTGAAGAATTTTTGTCAAATAAAATGGATTTTTGTTTCCAATTTTCTCATTAGTAACGCTTTCTAGGTAAACTATAAATTCCGCCTGCCCAGCATTTTCTGCAAATCGTCTTTTATAATTGTTTTTGACAAAAGGCTTGTATAAATTTTTTTGATCACTTTCTAAGTTTTGGCCCTTTTTTCTTTTCTTTGGTTTACTAAATTGAGTGCTATTATCTGCATCAGTATCTTCATTTTCCATTTCTGACATTATTACTCGATATTTAAAGCAAAATTGGTAGTCAAATCAAGATAATACACAAATTAAATTTGCAAGAAAATTTAAAAACGCGCGCTCGATTCGACTTCCCGCCAAAAAGTCCAAAAGCAATTTCACCTACTGCAAGACATACCAAAACAGAAAAGCGACATTTTGACCATTCATAGACAAGATGAATGAATTAAAAAAATAAATGTGTTGCTCTATAGAAAAATACATTTTTAGAGAAGTTAAAACCCGTAAATTATCGAATATAAACATTTATAAATTAAAAACCAAATCAACTGTAAATTATCAGAGTGCTAGGTTTTTATTGCGTTTTTGTACCTATTCAAATTTTGTACACAATCGTGAATGCCCGTGGCACACTGTTAGAGGTGGAAATAATGGCTTAAGTTTTTTAAACGTTTTACCGATGTACTTTCTTGAAAAGCGCGATTGTAAAAGCTTTTCTTTGCTCGAACGCTTATTACAATTACCTCGTTTGGAAACCTTTTAAAACTAAACGAAATTATTATACTTAAAAAAAGAAAATATTTAATAATAACTTTTAAACAGTTTCATCGCGTTTGTATTTAGTTTTATTAACGTTTCGGATATCGGTCCCTTTACAGGTTTGGTGTTCACATAAGACTCCATCTCTAGAATAATACCCGAGGCTACTGAAATTACCCCTCCCCCCATTAGTCCCCTCTTTCCTGTGGATATCTGTGCATTTCTACACCTCTCGATTGCCTCAATCATTTTGAAGAACCACGGAGCATGAAAATGTCACATACATGCCAAGATTTTAGTGAAAATATAAATCTTAGAGAAATGATACTGAATACTGATATAAATACGACGGAAGACTTGGCTGTACGTATTAGAATCCCCTTGTCTTAAATTCATTTAATAAATAATGTCAGCATATGAAAAGATAATAGCAGTGATAGCCAGTATGGCTTAGTTCCTTGGCCTGTCCCATTGACGAAACTACTACTGCTAGACAAATGTCAGCACAGAACTGTCAGTCGGTGACGTGAATCTGCCAAAAAATGATATTTTAGATTTTATTATTTTTCTTTCACCGAATGGGTTACAAGTATCATATTTAATTTACTTCGTTAAAAGCAATATAGCTAAAAGTATTTTTTGAAAAAATACTGCATGCTTTAATTTCAAGAACTTGATAAGTGGGTGGATTCTAATATTTGTGTCATGTCTGCAAAATTGACCAATTTTGCTGATGATGAAAAATGAAGGGTGTTGATAACTCTCCAGCTGATCGGGAAGGCATGACACATAAACCTTTAATAACATGTTAGTAAAAAACGACATTATTAGTTAAAATACATAAAAAGCTATGAATTTATTGTTTATAAATTGTACAACATTTTCTGCCTCTAGGTGCAGGAGACTGGAATTTATTTTGTACATTAGAAGCACCTCTCGTAGCAGCTATACCACAGGATTCTTGTGAGTGGAGGCGATCATATGGTAGACCTCCAAAATCTGTATATTTGGAGGCATCATTTGTGAAATATAATAAAGACAAAGTTCAGGTAGAACTGAACTTATTAAAACGCCCCATCTTTCACATCTATTGGACTGACTGTGTTGTATGTATTTTGATAGTATGAAATAAATTCAGTTATTGGTTGAAATTAATTATTTTTTGTTTTAATATTAATTGTCAAGACTTCAACTACATTTTTTCTAAAAATATATTGCAAAAGAAATCTAATCTCTTTCATACAAATCTAATGTAGTCCTACTTAGGAATTTGTATATTTACTTTAAATTGGCATTACTTTATGTAATTTATTATTATTGTTTAAGTGATAATGAAATGAAATACATTTTTAACTTTTACTGTAACATAACATGAACCCAAATAAAGAAAGTGCAACAATTATAATATTAAGTATCAAGTCAATTGGATTTTACTGACTGCTATAAAACTATTATACTTAATATTGCACATACAAATTCACATCATATTTTTGTTACTGAGGTAACATTACAATTATACTTTTTCTCTCATTATCATGCCTTAACTCAATAATTTTTGTTCAAAATTCAAACAGGACATTGAATACTACAAAACTACATTAAGAGAAGACGTAGAATCATGGTTCAAGCAGTTGGAAACAAATGGTATTACAGATTGGATGGTGGTTTTAGTTGAAACATATGACATTCGTAAGACTAACAAACTATTGCCGAGGACTACAGTGTTAGACAAAATTAAAGGAGAATTTGCCATAAAACAGACTGAAGATAGATTCCTTTCCGTTATTAATCCCATCAAGTCGGAAGCAAGAAGCGCAGAATCATGGCGTGCATTGGTGGCAAAAATCAGACATTTTGTCCTAGTAGCTTACAACAAAGCTCTTATAAAGTTCGAGGAACATATGAGAGAACAGAGAGAGAAACGGAACGATCCTGAATGGGATTTTTGTAAATACTTCATATTACAGGTATTTCTTCTATTAAAAAATAAGCCTCTGTGTTAAAATAAAAATTGTTATTTTATAACATCATCGCATCATGATCAAATTTATGTTTTTATTAGTATCCTAGAATTTACATTATGTATAAAAACTGACAGTTTGAAATTATAAGTTAATTATAATAAATAGTGGAGCTTGTTCTCCCTATTCAATTTGATTCAATTCCATCCATAGGGACAGCCTGCACACCAGCAGTGGTGACATTAATGTTACAGAAAAGATGTTAAATATTAGAATAATAGTATTGGTATTGTTATTCTTAGTATCTTTAGGTTATAGTTAATTTATTACAATAGTCTATATCTATATCTACCGTAGTAGAAGAAAATATTATTGTTGCTATTGCTTGGAATCAATAATTTTGGCTAATATTGTCAATAATTGGGCAAGCGGTTAAAATAGTTTAAATAATATATTAATAAGATTGTGTGAGATAACATGCAACTTTCTAACACTTGTGGCTAAATAATCATGTTTTTTCCCACAGGAACAACTAGCATTTGTGTTGGAAATGTTAGGATTGTACGAAGAAGCCTTGGTCCAATATGATGAATTAGATGCTCTATTCTCTCAATTTGTACTCAATTCAAATGTGACAGAGAGCCCAAAATGGCTGGACACATTCAAGCAGCCAGTTACGTCGTGGCATGCAGTAAGATTGACAGCATTGGTACCACAACATTTGAGGGATCTCATAATAAAGAAAAAGGCTTCGATTTTAGATTTTCGGAGTTATCTCTTTCAACGTCAAAGTGCCATGTTGTTACTTATGTTTAAACCTTGGGAGGTAAGAAAATGACACCTAATAAATATTTTATTATTATTTCTAGAGAAGAAACGGAATTCTGATAATTATCCGGAATTTTGTCTATCTGGTAGTCAAATTATTGTATGACTGCATACCAGATAGCACATATCTACTGCGTGGATACTAATGTTAAAATATCAAATTACAAGGTTTGATTTTACGAACATAAAACTAATCAGTACTAACACTACACTAATGGAAAATTATGGCGACTGAATACTTTTAAACAAATTGCTACTTATAAACAAACCAAAATTGACCAAAATAGTTTTGATAAAATGTGCCTAGTGACACTTATATTTACTTGTTGCATATAATAAATGTATTTGTAAGGAAAAGATTAATTTTGATTAGTGTTTTTGTGAAATAAAAAAAATATGAGTGACTTTGGCTTGGCCATTTTTTTTAATAAAAGGCCATTTTTTTAAAAGCAGCGTAATGGTCATTTCGTTAAGGGTCGCATTTAAGCAATTCTATACATATTTCGCCGGGTAGCCGGAATCCGGCCAACCTTCGCCAATCAATTAGCCGTTTCAGTTCATCTCCCAATTTTTTCATTGCTATTATCACATTATTTTTCATTTATTGATACTAAAATGAACTAGATCCAATAATGGTTCAAATGGAAGACTTAATTTTCTACATTGGTCCGACTAGCAATCGAAACCGAGGCTTCTGGGATGGCGACTCCTCAAAACCTCAAAACTCAGCCATGGGTATGGTTTGATTAGTTATTTTATAATTTTCACTTTGAATATTTGGTAGGAGCCTAGTTAATATATACAACGTGTCCCAAAATTCAACGATAAGCGGGCGCCAAGAGGTAGACCTGCTCATGTGTACTTATGGAAAAATAAGAAAAAAATTATATCTTATTAATCTTTTTTATTATAAAATAAAATTCGTTAATTTTCGAAAATTTACACCTTTTATGATATTTTCAACTACCACGACCACAACTTCTCAATTATGTTCAATCTTTTTTTGGTATCGGACTGTTAAAAACACCAAAATGCCCACAGTATTTACACAAAAAACAATCAAAATGTATTTTTTTCCTTAAATTTTCACAGATTTTTACGTTCCGTAATCTTTGACTCACAGTCATGTAGAAAAAATGTATGGACACTACTGCGGCAAGTTGTTTTTAAAATTGACGCAGCTCATGAAGATTCCATAATGGTATAATACTTCATGATAACTAGCAACAAACTAAAAATCATACCATTTAGAATCAAGAACCAAAGTTGTGAGTAATAAATTGTACTGTTCCGAAATGTTTTAATATTTAAAAAAAATATTGAAATAAACAATAGTGAGTTTTAGTCTCATTCATTTATTAATAATTAACATTACAGTAAATGTTCAAATTGTTTTCCACCGGCATTAATACATGCACGACATCGCCTTAAAAAAGAGAGTTTTATTTTTCGTGCATACCTTTTAGCATTGATATGTGACGCAGCCTGACTAATTTTTTGCCGAAGCTCGTCCAATGTCGTAATGGGTTTTTCATAGCTTTTATCTTTGAGACAAACCCAATAGAAAAAGTCCAGGGGGTTTAGGTCGGGTGATCGGGGCGGCCATAAGATAGGACCAAGTCGCCCAATCCAACGCCCGGAATACTCTTGGTTTACAAATGGTGTGCATATTTTTTTACTGTGACTAGTTATCTTAGATTATTATACCATTTTGGAATCTTGATGAGTTCAGTCAATTTATAAACAACTTGCCACAGTGGTGTCCATACTTTTTTTTACAAGACCGTAAGTCAAAGATTACGGAACGTAAAAATCTGTGAAAATTTAAGGAAAAAATACATTTTCATTGTTTTTTGTGTGAAAACTGCGGGCATTTTGGTGTTTTTAAGAGTTGTAGCGAATAGTAGTGCTACTTAGGTATCCGATACCAAAAAAAGATTGAACATAATTGAGAAGTTGTGGTCGTGGTAGTTGAAAATATCATAAAAGGTGTAAATTTTCGAAGATTTTCGAATTTGATTTTATAATAAAAAAGATTAATAAGATATATTTTTTTTCTTATTTTTACATAAGTACACATGAGCAGGTCTACCTCTTGGCGCCCGCTTATCGTTGAATTTTGGGACACGTTGTATATAGACTTACATGGCATAACTTAACTTTATTATGGAAACTCAGATGCAGTAATGATATTAATTTCATTATCGATTTACCAGTTGCTGTTCTGTAGATGAAAAGAATGAGCTGAAAGTTTCTTTTTTCATTATAAAAGTGTTAGGTCATGTCAGGGGACATCAACTTGCGGCTTTGCTAATTTGCTAAGTATGCGGTTCTCAAGTTTAAGTACAGTTTAGATGTTCTTAACTATAAATTACCAATAAAAAAGATCGGGTGTTAGGTAGTATTATATATAATATGATTGAAATATAACTAAGATATGCATATTGAAAGTAGTTTATTTGAAATAAAATAGAATATATAGGTTACGAATTATGGGCGACGAATTCATCTGAACACTTGTTTTATTTTATACGAAATGCTTTACGAACAGCTTTATTTCACCTAGACACCATTTTTGAAGAGGGAAAACCACAGAGCCCAGACTAGTACTGCACTTATTACAAAGTTATGTATCTAATATTTTCAACAAATTATATAAATTGAAGCATTTAGTACTTCGTATCATAAGGTTGTCGACCCTTGACCTTTTATTCTCCACAATAAAATTCTTACCACAACGATACTCCGTTGTATATTCAAAGAAAATAAACAAACACACTTTCTTATCTTAAATTGTATGGAAGTATGGTTGTTTCCAAATAAAAAATTCTCGCTATTTAATAATTGTCCGCTCATCCAATTCAATGTGGGTAATTAGTGTTCGCAGCTGAATTATTCATTGTGTTAAATATTTCTGTTCTGTGGGTGCTAAGCAACAAACAGTTGTTTCGTTTAATGAGGCTTGGAATAATTTTTGAACTGCGTACAATCCTAACGCATAGTCGGCCGCCGACTTTAATGGTTGGTTTCTGAATGGAGAAAAATACTAAATACTCAAGTGATTATTCTCAATAATAAGTTATTACTTTTCACACGGCATAAAGTCCTAGTTTTTATCAAACTGGTATCACGTGACCTTTAAACAAAACTAAAATCAGAAACGAAAACCTGTTTCGGAAACGAAAAACTATAAATTTCACTTGAGTAACCGGGTGTAATTGAGCGTTGAGCGCAGGTACAACAAGTACTTATTACACTGAGCATAGGCGTTGACCGACGGCGACCAATTTTAGTTCTGCGTCACTACGTGCTGTGGTCGCTGGTTGGATACGTGGCTGAACGTAATAGCGTGTCGAGTCCCAGAGTTCATATCACTGGCGTCCAATATAGACATTGTGAATGAAAAATACTATTTAATTTCACGCTCATACGAGTACTAAAACTCATTGCAAGCCTCATAGTGAGCGGCCGACTTTACCTGTGATTTAAACATACGCTTATGAAGTTAACACCCACACTTACGTATATAAGAATATTGTATGATTGAAATTATCTTTATTATTATTATAAAGATTTGTTTATTTGTATAGAATAGGCGCCAAAATCTACGACACTAGGGAATACGCGTCTGACAATTTAGGCTGGCTAAGAAAAACAGCTAATTCACAATTATACTATGTAAACAGGGCTTAAGTGGATTTTTTAAGCATCCTTCATTAAGAATATTCTTCAGTATAGCATTGTAAATTCGAAATTGATCAAATCTAATAATTAGAACATAAAAATATTTCTTTCGGCTGTTTGGGTGAATTGCCTGAACATTGATGAGAATACGCTCTGTACTAACGAAAAAGTAACAAGTGCTTGAAAAATATGAATATCTTTTCTGTACATATAGCATTGTGAATGCGAAATGGATGAATTATAATAATACTTATACTATTAATTTCATTTATTCACCAGTAATTTACGGTTTCAAGCTCAATGAGAAAATTATGATTTATTCAAATCTTGAATATTGTCAATACGATATGGCATGTTACACTTGGGTAAATATATCAAGGCATTTGATATTTTCTCCATGGTCGGTCACCTGTGAAGTTCCTACTGTTACTATCAATTATAGTTGAGTTGGGCTGTCCGTGTCTGCCAGACATGAAACCACTTAGACAAAGTAGATTTTTAGCTGTTTAAAACGACATAAGCCAAGAGTGTAACGTACTACAACAGTGGGGAAATAGGCTAATGATTAAACTTTCAATAATCATTATAATATCCATTTATTTACTCTTCACAATAAGTGTAAAGTTCGTTTCTCGAAAGAAGTCCCTCGGATTTATTAATTTATTACAAACGAGTCTTAAAAGCTAACAGATGTTTCCATCCAAAACGCTTGCAAGATTAGATTATAAAAAAAAAATTAAATTTAAATAAAGAACATACAATAAGACAGAATAACACTTAAATTATGATGATCAAATATTATTAACAATGTCAAATATATAGGTCAAATCAAATTATAATAAAAATCTAATAAATTAAATGTCAGCAATACAAAAATATGAAAAATTAAATGTCATTGTCAATCTACAAACTAATAATTGAATTTCTACAGGTACAAATAATCAATATTAACAAAAAAATAAATAATTATGTCAATTTTAATAGTACAAAAATAGTTTTATCAGGATTAAGTAAAATTGTCATTTAGGAATTTCCGAAATTGATTATATAAATAATTAAAATTATCGGAAAATGTATCCAGTTCATAGTGCTGAGCAAGTATGTCCCCGATAACACCTATTGCACGTTTAGTGGGCGCATGTTTACCGCGCTCCGTGCGCGCGGCCGGCAGCGCCAATAACCATGGTTGGCGTCTAGCTGTAACTAAACCCGCGGAGTTCCAAAAGATTTTTGTAGGAGTTAACAAACAAAACTGTTCTAGAATGTTTGAGTTGTAAATTCTTCGGTGCAGAATCGAAAGATATAGGACTATCAGAAACAAAGCCCTTCTCAGCTTCCATGTGTTTATTTCTACCATACCCAATACGCCCAATACGAATCACAATGTTTTAGCTTGTATGACAAAGGAATAAGAGGTATGCCGCAAGACTTCTTTCGTGAGATTACAATTTTATCATCATATTCTTACTGTAAAGAAGCTGATGCCTGAAATAAGTTTTATTAAACGCGTTACACATGTCAACAGAGTTACCAATTTTCAATACATTTTAAAGAACTGCCTTCAAGGGGATCAAACAGATGTCCAACGATGCGAGTTGGTTGTTCCAGATCGCATCCCGATGTCTCAGCACCGTCCATAATACTTTGGTTGAGTTGGATCTGTTGGGTGCCGCTGCGGTGGAGGGTGCCGCGGCGTGTTGGGCGCAATTAGCGTGCGCGGAGACGTTGCGCGCGTGCGAACGTCTCGCGTCCAATAACAATGCCATAGAGATGTGTACGGCCACTCAAGCGCCATTACTTCACAATGCCAAAGATAAGGTATGTAAGGTATTTAAAATTAATAAAATTTAAGACAAATTATTGTCAAACGACTCTTTAATGCGTTACCCCTTATTTATTTATTTAATAATTTATGCACATTTAAAGACGTGGGGAAGCCAATGCGAGTAGGGTGCACATTTAAAATAAACATTTATCAACAAAAATATACAAACATTTAATATATACTTACATATATAACACATAACGCGTAAAAAAAGATATCACAGTTATACATAATAAACTACATAATTCACATATAAATACATAAATTTGTGTATATATACTAATAAATAAAGATGACTAGTTATTACGAGTCCGCCTGTTTCGATATATAGCTACGTAATTTGTTTTTAGTAATATCAGTTCAATAAACTGGTTCGTGAACATTGTCATATACTTGTAAATCAGTCCCATCGTATTGGGTTTATTTTTCCAAATATTGTAATTTCATGTATGTCTATATTATTATATATGTAGCTGTATTATTTTATGTACTTTGGTTTATTTTTCTTCTTAAAATCGTGATCTATCTATATGTCACCGGAAAATAACAAGAACCGCAAATTGATAAATTTCGTAGGATTCTAAATGAGAGATAAATTGTATTATTTTACGCTCAAATTTTCATAAATTTATCGATTTGCGGCGTCTCGTGGTAAAGGGTTTAGCCGGATACGTATGACGAGTCGGCCCCCAAATGGGAATCGATATTGAAACTTATGTTTTAATATAGACTTGATGTTCAAACACGATTTATGTACTTTTCGCGACCGACTTCCGCTTTGACCTTGAGATAGAGAGCAAAATATCCGTATGCTTGACTATTACTGAATGTGATTTATCTCTGAAGCTAATTAAGATAAAGAAGTGAAACTAACGCGAGGTGTTAGGTTACATTACAGAGTATATCACATATATTTTTTTATAATTTTTAGAATAAAAAATTAAATTAAAAAAATAAAAATAAAAAAAAACATGTTTTTTTTCTGAGTTCTCTGTGACTTACAATCACGAAATTAATATATGTTATGCTCCTTTGTGTGCTCTATTACCCATAAAAATTGCGTGAAAAAAAAGTTGGTGCAACACAACGAAAAAAAATTATATGTGATTTCTGTCTTATGGTATACCCCTGTATTATAAGGTTTTCACATTACATCATTGTTTTTTTTTTCGAAATTTCACATCAGTTTGTTTTAAAACATAAGTAACTAGTCTTAAGAGATGGGATAATAGTTAAAAAAGAAATGAAAAAAAAAACAGCCAGTGTTCAATACTTATTATTATTACTTTTTCGTGTCTATCAAAATACAAGAAACAAAATATTAATCATCGTCACTGTTGTAATTAATTACAATCGGAACACTTTGAGTCGCAAATAACTTAGTTAGGACCTCAGCAGGACGTACGATTTTGGACAAATATCATCCATATGATAGATAATAATAATAGCATCCCACTGTACGTTTGCCATTGGGGCAATCACAGCAATAACGAAGAATACTATTGTAGTCATTACCTTCGGAAATATAGTGAATGTAAATTCGATAGACTTTTCTATTTATATGTCTTGATTTTACTTCTGCTTTGATGATATTAGGTGCTGATTTCACATATTGTACTGAGAGATTATTTTGATCGTCCATTATTTCGGCCAAGTTAAATGCTGCACATTTAGAAGTAGAAGCTTTTTTGTTAATATATGGGATAAGTCGACACTTCTTACAAAAAATATCATTAACTTTAACTTTAACATTAACGATTTTATTCAAACAGTCACTAAACACTTTAGCTTCTTCTTCATTCTTTATAATTTTTTTATAACCAGGAATCTTACACAGGTACTTGTTACAATTATTACACTTTCTCGACATTATTACTTAATAATAATTTGGTTCGATAGTTAATAATTTCAAAATGCTGATACAAAATACCTATGACAGAATTTGAGTCCCAAACTGCCTTCTTGTGTAATACAAATGACTGCTACTTTAGCTAAACAAACGATGCAGTAAACAGCTCGATAACAAGTTCGAACTTGTTTGTTTATACACTCACACTACAAGGCGCGAATCACATATAATTTTTTTTCGTTGTGTTGCACCAACTTTTTTTTCACGCAATTTTTATGGGTAATAGAGCACACAAAGGAGCATAACATATATTAATTTCGTGATTGTAAGTCACAGAGAACTCAGAAAAAAAACATGATTTTTTTATATTTTTATTTTTTTAATGTAATTTTTTATTCTAAAAATTATAAAAAAATATATGTGATATACTCTGTAATGTAACCTAACACCTCGCGTTAGTTTTTTTTTTTTTTTTTTTAAATACCCGGCCTTACAGTCTATGGCCGGGCTTCCTATTTGTCCCCACTTTATAGCAGGCCCTTATGATTCTCTAGTTTTCTCTTTCATTCCAGTTCTCGCTTTTGTTACAACATTCATTCTGCATCCTTTATCTTTCTTATATTCTTCCTCTTTCATACTTTCGGCTGGGATTGCCGTTCCTGTTCTATCTATTCTATTATTTTATTTATATCTTTATTGGGGTTCAACACATACGCAGTTGTTTTTTATTTACTTTAAAATCTTACTCTAATTACATATTTCTTATTCTAGTTACATTTCTTATTCTAGTTACATTTCTTATTCTATTTATCTTTTTTTGTGTTACATTTTCTGGTTTTTCCATTTTATATTGTCCTTCCTCTATTTCTTTGTTATATTCTACAGTACATTCATACTACAAGGTATTGTTCTGCTTTATAATTTATTTTCGATAGCTTTGTCTTATTTTGCTACATTCTTTCTTATTTTCTACTACATTTCTTTATTTCTTACTATTATTACATTTCTTTCAGGTCTTATATTCTATACATCTCTTGTTGTTCTAGTTCCATTTACATGCTTATTCTATTACAGTTTGTTATTTACTTATGCTAATGTTATTTACATTTTATATTCCTATGTGATCTTATAGGTATGTTTCATTTGATTATTCCTTCTCTATATTCTACTTTTAGTGTTTTTATTCCTACATATTTAATTTCTAATTCCTTTCTCCTTGTCCTAATTATGATTCTAATTTATTGTGTTTTTCTTTTGTCTAATCCTATTTATTCGTTCCTTTTTTTATTATATCTATTTGTTATTCTTTTTTTGAAGTCACTATTTATATATAATTAAATATATATAGTGTTCCTCTTTCTTTTCAGGTTTTTATTTTTGTTACTCTTGTTTGTTAGTCAAATCCGGTTTTGTATGTGTTTATTTGTGTATTTTATGAGTTTGGTATTTCCATAAAGTTTTACATCGTCATAATGCTTTCCTTTATGTTTTGTTTTTTGTTTTGTCTTGATGGATCGGTTGGAATGTTCATCATTCCAGTCGATTCATTGTTTCGTGTATGTGTTGTCTGATTTTTGTGTATGTGTTTTTTGTTCAATGTTTGTGTTGTGTTTTGGTGTGTGTTTTCTTTGTTTATGTGTTGTTTAGTGTTGTCCTCAGTCGTATGCTCGTTAGTCGTCGCGTTAGTTTCACTTCTTTATCTTAATTAGCTTCAGAGATATATCACATTCAGTAATAGTCAAGCATACGGATATTTTGCTCTCTATCTCAAGGTCAAAGCGGAAGTCGGTCGCGAAAAGTACATAAATCGTGTTTGAACATCAAGTCTATATTAAAACATAAGTTTCAATATCGATTCCCATTTGGGGGCCGACTCGTCATACGTATCCGGCTAAACCCTTTATAAACTAACGTACACATATACTATTTAAATTATGCGTCTCGGTATATTTCGTGTTCACGAATTTAACCGATCAAGAAACCAATGTGTGATCGTCGTTTTAGCCGCCAATACTCGACAGTACCTCGACTGTGATGGAAGTGACAGCACGCAATATTTCAGTATTAAGAATTGTATAGAGCTGTAATACGCCAAATTACCTTATTTGAATATAGGTATTAAAACATTAGTTCCAGCAGCGACAGTAATGATTCTGAGTCTGAAATGTCGGGTATAGAAGACATATCAAATTGTGATTAATTGATGAATTTTGTTTTATTAAAAAAACTGTTCTACTTACTAGTGTCAGAAACTTATTTAGTTAGTACAACCGATTTATCTTAATTCGATTTTCTTAAATCTGGGGTTTTCGTTTTGGTATCAATTGATGGCAAGAAATACAGTATACTTTTATTTTTAAATTGGCTAACCTAATCTAAATTTAAGCGAAATGATTAATTATGTAATAACAACTCTATATAGATATATTAAAAATACATTAGGATTGCCGAAGCTTGACGAATATAGCCGAAGCGCATAATTTAAATAGTATATGTGTATATCTATTCGTAAGATTATAAACGATTCGACCAATCACAGAAGAGCTTTAATTTCACGCTTCTTTGAAATACCGCAAATAATACACTGCTCTCTGATTAGTTGATGTTGACAGTAGCAATGCTTGTGTCCGCACTATCTTCGCCATTTTGCCAATATAACTTACAATCATGCTCTCATCACAAAATACTGATTATGCAAGAAACAAGTTTGTAGTAAAATGTACCTTAAACTTATACTTTAATGCCTATATTCCAGCTACACGAGTTAGGTAAGCTCTGTGGTCTCTTACCAGGTTCACCAGAGCCTAGTTCAGAGCAATTGCATCTAGTGGTAATGTTATCAGCCGGTATGGGAGACAGCGAGCCGAATAACCAGCATCCAACGCCTACGGATAGGTTAAAGGAAGCCTTATGCAGTAAGACTAGCTTCCAACAGTACTATTTGGAATTGGCAGAATTGGCTATGGGGACATACAAGCACATTGGAAGGTTAAGGTAAGAATTCCATCAGCATAGCTCTTTCGATATTTTTGTATATTATGTTAAAAGAGTTATACATTATCTTACTCGTTTAAATATAAAAGTAGTATTTATTCAAACCTGTTTTTAATTTAAAATGTAATAATTATTGTATTAATAAACTACAATGTTATTGATCTAACAAATGGAATGGAAATTACATCACTTAATTCAATTTAGACTTCAGCAAAAATAAACTATTTAATTGGAAGAAAAACAAAAAAATTCTTGGCTTGTTATGGTTCGTCTGTTCAAACCATGACCATGTATTCTACTATTTAAAATATATTGAATTATTTACTCAGACCAGCAGTAATATTATAGAGTCACAGATAGTATAGTACAGATACTTTGATCAATTTGAAATAAGCTTTACCTAGTAACACATACGTTTTAGATTTGCGCGCTTAATCGGCCGCGACTTAGCGTCCTTCTATTCGGAGTTAGGCGAGACCGGCAAAGCTGTGGTGTTTCTAATGGATGCATTGCGTTCGTACGAGGAACAAGGATGGAGAGATCTTGCCGCTCAAACTAGATTAGAACTAGTGGCGGCGGCGAAGAAGATGGGAGACGTGGATAGGTAAGATTTCCTTAGCTTAGGATGAAAATTAGGATTACTCGTCTCGGCGTATAGATATGCCCTGGACTAAGTGATCAATCGGGCAATAAATACACAATATGAGACCGCAATATGATTAATACTATAAAAATAAATAAATTGTCAGAAAATTATTAATAATACTCGTCATCTATCGGGCAGAACAATTGAAACAAGAATTTATTGCGATACTATTTTTATTTCAACAGTATGGACTATACTCACTTTAAGACAGTAGACAGTATGCTCACTTTAAGAGAAAGTCTTTTTATTCTCCTCTTCATACCCTGTGGAATGATCCTATGCACTATATATTTTTATCAAATTGGAAATATTCATAATGTCAGGGAATTCGTCTTAGGTAATGAATGGATAACTCTTAAGCAACCTAGATTTGCCAATTATGCGATAAACAATTCAAAATTTATTAAAGAGCTCCTTCACGCTTCAGAATACACGTAAAATTAGTCCCGGCTGCAAAACTTCTTAATCCTGATCAATCCTTAGGTTTCGAGAATTATAATCCCTCAAGAAATCCATTAATTGAAATACACTGCAAAATGTCAAGATTAAACAATATGTGTTTTATATTTAGATACACAAAGCTCTCTGCAACAATAGCTTGTACAGCCGAATTAGAAATCCTAGTCAGAAACTTCTATTTCGAGGAGATGACGAAGTCCATAAAGGTGGACTTGCGAGACAAAACGGACTCAGTGCTCGCCGAGCTCAACGAATGCTTCAAAATAATCTCAGCGACCCTCGTGCCGTCCGACCGTGGAGTTTATATAACAGAGAATAAAGTCCAATGTTGCTTGTTAGTCGAAAGTTTCTTCCCTAAAGAGGTCACTTGCAATCGTGCAGCGATCAGCATAGAAATCTGCAAAGACGAAAAGCAAGAAAAACGGACGCCAGTTAAAAGCTATAAGACTGATTTAAATGTTAATGGTAGTTTAAGTACGCAGACTAATTTGCAAAGAAAAACTTCTGATGTATCTACGGATAACGAAATTTCTACTTTAATTAGCAGGTGAGTGATATGTAGTTTTAAAATAAGTTTTGCAGTGAAAATTTTTGTGTTAAACCTGCTCTTTTTCCTTTTGGAATAAAGACATAGTATATGTCTATGTTTTATAATAACTATCTGTGTTATAATTTCAGCATAAGACTAGACGATTTAAAACCTAAGAATCTTCTATTGAACCCTTTACACATAACATCGAAATTGCTTTACAAAGAAGACAAAACCCTCCAGAAAGCGACAATAGAGTGCGTTAATCCGAAGGTCACTCTAAAACGGTCAGACAGCGCCAAGTACAGGAAACCGTCTGCTTCAATGCGGAACAACTATCAAACTTGTTTAGTGCAAGAGCACTTAACGATAAAACCTGGGGTCAACGAATTGTGTCTCGAATTCATGGCTGATAAGTGCGGTACGTTCAAGATTGGCCAGGTATCTTTGCTTATTGAGGGGAAATTGGAATTCCTCTCCAATGTTCTAATAGGTACCAAGATGGGATTCGAAGTGGTCACCCAAGGTGTGAACGTATACCTGAATAAGGTTGAGCCAAAGAAGGATTTAGTTGCTGGCTTGGAACATGATATGGAGTTGGTTGTTGCCAGTGGAAGCTCCCAAATAAAAGAGGTTCGTATACTATTACTTACTGTTCTAGCTATTGCAATGTCAGATGCCAAACCTTTTAGTGCAAATAATAATAAATAGGTTTGCATGAACGTAGGAAGGGTCGACGCATCTAGCTTTCTAGTTGGAAGTCAGCTCTTCTTCTGAAAAATATCTAAAAGTAACCTTACTTCTGCCAGTTAACGCCTAATTCTATTTCATCATTAACACAACCTACGTTATCCTTGATTGTTCCAGAATACGTCTATAGTGTTGAAGACTTCAGCAGGATTGCTTATACGATTTGCGGAAGATTCCAATATGACTAGGGAGCTCAGTATACCTGTGCCGCCGAGTAAACCATTTGATACTATTAAAGTACCATTGAAACTATTCGCTAGTTTACAACCTAAGAGGGAGAAGAGTATAGAGCATACTGTGAGTATTTATATATTTATGTAATTATAGGACATCAACAGTGCATGTATTAACACGATTTTCGCATTACAGTATTATTAAATATAAGTTTGATGCATGCAGTTTTATAGGTGACGCAACGTTGGTATTGGAATAATTTAACTACATATTAATATAAATTTAAAATATAAAAGTGACATACGTTTGTGCTTTAACTGTACATTCTAAGAAATTTTAATTCAATTCAAATTTAAATTCTCTCTGAATTCTAACACGCAAAATAATTTTTTCATATAAACGCACCCTTTTGGTGATAACAAATATATATAAAAAACAACCTCCTCCCTCAATCATCCATTTGTTGAATATTTATTAAAATAAATAGATAATAAAGAATACATTAGCCACGATCGAGTCAATTTCGCGCATAGAGTGCTTCGCTAATATTTTTCTTTTAAACCATAGACATCTCAGTCTAAATAGCTAACTTTTAATAGAACTGTTTAAATTTTTTAGATACATTTCATGTACACCCCTATTACGATTAACGTCGAATAAAGGTTATCGCTCATTTATACCATTCAAAATAATAATAAAAAATGCGCTATTGCCATTGCTATCACATGACAAATATCTAATATGTAATATCTTTTAAATGTCAAATTCAAAGTAATTGTGATAGATTTTTATGTTAGACATTTAAGTCACTGATTACAAATGCGTTGATCTATCCAGGTATGGTTAAACTGTCCGTGGTGGGAGAACGCTACAGAAGTGCCCCTACACTTCTCGCCTCCGATGTTGGCAACATGGCGACTGCTGACCTCGAACACGAGGAAATTCGTTCACGTAACACTCAAGTGTACTGTAGCCCATCCCATACAGTTCGTACTCACTTTACCGAAGCTAGAGTGCGACGGTAGTAATAACGTGTCCGATTTGAATCCCAAGAACGCGGGAGATATGGTAAGTTGTATTTTGCCTTATTTTTGTTTTTTAACTTTAAATGGAATTGAATTTGCTTTTGTTGAACATGCTATTTTGATCGTGCAATTTCAAATGATAAATGTAAAATATGGCACTTAAGCTATAAAAGCTAAAAAAAAGTGTACCGAAGTTAGCAGGGGATTTAATGCAAAAACCATTTGTTTGTTCTGTTCTTGCTTTCAAGCATGTAGTCAATTTGCAATGTAACTGTTCAAAATTCTAACTTTGACGTTTAATGGGAAAATGATGGTTCTGGGTAGACTAAAACTAAAATATATTATTTGCCTATGTCCGCGCAAGGCTTAATTTCTTAATTTGTTTAAAGTCTTATCACAATCCCATTGAAACGTATAGCGGTCGTGATAAAGATTTATGGAATTGTGTAACTTTAAAGTTTAATAAGGTTTATTGTTTATTAAAATTTTATAATTATTTTTATGACCAAATGATTTAGTTTAACCATAAATTTATAATGGAATAATGACAGATAAATAACTGTTTCATTTAAGAAGCTGCTATAGAACTATCATTTCATCTGGTTACTATTGTCATAACGTTGACATTAAATATTGGATTCTGGCGAAATCCACAAGGGCAACGCCATTAATTAAAAAGAAGAAAAAGAAATAAAATTGTCATTGTCAGTACAGGGTAAATCATTACATACTCTTTTGGTTTAAATTGGTACTGATTATTGAGCTGCTGTAAGCAAAATTCGACTTTATGGTGACTTACCTTTTCCTTTCTCCCACTGTACATTGATTTATTTTATTTTTTAGATCGTCGCATCCGATGGTACGACTGCGGCCTTCATGTGGGAACTACATAAAGACCCACTAGTGCAAGGCGGTCCTATGAAGGCAAATTTCACTGTCGAATACAAACTGGTGAACGTGGACGAACCTACTAGGGTATTCAGTTGCCCGTTCGACATACAGGACTATACGACGCTCTTCGTAATTAGGACTAAACTGGAGCCGAGTAAAGGCTCAGACTTTTGTAGAGCATCGCAAGTCTGTTGCTTACACCTCAGTGTGCAAAGGGTAAGAATATATATCAATATTGTTACAAGCTGGGTTTCGGAATAAAAATTAACGAAAATAAATTCACAATTAGACATTTTATTTTACTAATCCGTTACCAAAATAAAGTGCTGTATTTTACTATTATTTCATAACACTTCTAGATGGTTCATCAAACTGCCGACAACTTACTGCGTATATATAGTGGCAGAGCTTAAATTTACCATGTCAAGAATGTTCTAGGTTAGAATCTAGAACATTCTAAGTTGGCCTCAGCACTACCGGTGTATTCGCAGCATTCCCAAAAACTTCTAGAACGCCTACCCGGCCCTTTCTTCCCCGATAACCGTCCCTTTCTCGCCGACGACGTACAACTGTTACACGCGTAGTTTCTATAGTTACACATAACGCCATCTAGTAACGAACAGACGAAACATCGTGCCGCTGCACTTCGCTATTTATGGAGGGCCTTTATTATCTCCATTTAATATTCTTTTATTGCGCCCGCGGCCTGACCCGTCTGTAGTTCAATTATTAACGCCCTAAAACTATCCTCCTGGTTCTTTCCTAAAGTCCAATCTATCTGCTTTGAGTGGACTATCGTTTATCTTATAATAATGATAATAATTTATTTGCGTTTGAATAGGGTATACAAAAAAGATGTAAAAGGTAATACAATTTTCGCCTATTCAGCCAATAACAATAGCATGCAAATGTAGTAAAAAAGATACTATAAGCACTGATCAATCCACCCAGGCTACCGTTCAGTTTCTATAGTCTAAGAATTCTTGCAACGAATAAAAGGAACGCTCAGCAAGCCAGTTATATAACTCTCTCTTAAATCTAGTAAAAGGTGTATTCTTTATAGATTCCGGAATCTTATTAAATATTGTTTGACACATACAGTTTCATTAAATTAGTTTAAACATAATCTGTTTCATCTCTAATTTATTTGTCGCCTAGCGCAGCCATGGAAGGACTGCTCGCGTCGCTAGCACCGAATATAAAATATCTCTAAAGCTATGAACAAAAACCAGTATACATCCTACTAATATAATAAATGAGAAAGTTTGTGAGTATGTATGTTTGTTTTTCTGTCTCCCAAAAGCAACTAAACAGATTTTGATGAAATTTGGTATACGGATAATTCTAAGTCTGATTTGGCATAAAGGCTACTTTATATCTCACTAAACTTATCCCTAGGGATAAATGTACTGCAAAGTTTATATATGATTATTCTACATTTAACAGGTGAACGAAACAGAATACACGTCGCTTATGTACGAAGTGTTAGCAGATCAGACAATGTGGGCCGTATTAGGACGTACCGCGGGTATGTTTCTATTGAATTATATTGTTATCCATTAAGGAGGTCAATAATACTGTGATTAGTGCGTTCTTGACCTACGCAAGGGCCGGTCATAGGATGGGTGGCCTAAAGTTTATCATCTGAAGCTTCTTCGGGCTTCGGAGTATATGCTATTGGTCCCGGCTGCATTTACAGTCCTTAACACCCACCAATCCTCACTGGGCCCGAGTGATGGGTCATTGGCCTTACTCCCTATTCAATTAAATTCCATTTATATTCCAGCAGATGAGTCATTATTATGCCGATGATGACAATTAATTCGAGACGCTATTACTTACTGTAGCTGCTTTTGTACGTTTCATTGTCACCCACAAGATATAAAATAAATATTGGTTATATAATTTTATTATGAACCTTAAAAGTTACACAATACAATTCATTTTATCTCTCCTCTCTTTAGGAGTAATAACGATGGAGTGCAATGGCACAGAGCCGCAATCAGTGAGTCTAGACGTAATGCCGTTAGTGGCGGGTTATCTGCCGTTACCCACAGTGCGTCTCTCTAAATACATACCAGCTAATACTAAAGGTAAGAGTATAACAGTATACACGTACAAACTGACGCACATAGATTTATAAACATGCACATATTCACTCAGCTGTTATGCTCACGTATACTACATAGATACATATGATTAATTTAAAAAACCCAACTGTATTCTCTCCTGTTGTGGGCTTGGCTGGTAGAAATTTTAATTTAAATAAATAGTAAAGGGTAATACAAAATTCAATAATTGTTCTAGTAAAATCTTGTGTGTATGTAAAATGCTTAAATAAATTAATAAAAATCAATTTTGACAGAATACAGAATGCTACTAAATGCTCCGCTGAAAGAGCTGACTTCAGTTATTAATTTTTATCGTATAAGTTATTACTTTTATATTTGCTATTGGAAAATTAATTGGGAATTTAGCTGGCAATAAAATGAAAATATTGCTGGGAATTTTGCTGTAGATATGGCAACTTTCTGGGAATTTTCGTTATTATGATATTTTAATGCCTACTTTTCTTTCTAATCCATAGGGACTTTAATTCAAATAAAAAATTTAATAAATATAGAAAATTTACCCAAAACTTCCAGTTAATTCCACTTTGAAAATGCTGCCGGCAATGTTTCCAGCAAAATTTCCAGTCCATGGCAATGTACATCACTAGTTTTGCGTAACAGATAATATTTAATTTGATTATAAAAACATAATATAATTATCTTTCAATAGATCCAAAGAAAGACATCTCCGCTCATCCGCGATTGGAGCCCTTCAGCCCAGGACAGGTATACCACGCAGGGAAAGCTAAACAGGTTCATGTGCTGCCATCTATGCCAAAAGAACATTTGGAACCACCCGTATAACACTAAAACTTAAACTGAATTAATTTCAGACATTATTTAAACAAAGTTCAATACTATTGCAGTGGCGTCATACGGTTACAATCAAAACTCAACTTTATTAAGTTCTGACAAGATAGCGATAATGCGTTATAATATATTGCGCTACATAAATTGTCGCCATAATAAGCTGTTATAATAATTTCAGACATTATTTAAAACAAAGTTCGATTTTCCTTACAAATACATTAATGTACTGCTCGATTTATTACAAGCAATTCTATAATTACATCTATACCTATATGTGGACTGTTTTTTTTATTGCGTAATTACATATTTTAGAGTTCAATTAAAGTTAAAAGAACAAAATATTACAACAATGTTCTAAAAAAATAGATTTAAAGTCTCAAGTTGGACAAAAATAGAAATAAAACCACTTCCCCACTCTAAGACATTATTACCTCGCAAACCGCAAACGTCACAGGCGATAAAGACAGAAATTTTCTCTCCAAACCGGGGGGGGGGTTTTTGAAATACAAATAATAACTGAACTTAATCTAGACCGGTTATATTGAATACATTTTCAGTCTAGGATAAATCAAAACAGCAGCTAGTTCCTTGTTTGTTTCTTTGGATACCTGATGGTGATGTCAGAAGCCATAAAAACTAATTTGCATGAATGATCCAAAAGAAAATTGTTTAATTATCATATTTATTTTTACCTAGGGATAACATAGCAAGATTTTTTTCGTTTCTCGCTATCAACTTTCATTAGGCAGACTATAAACACATTGATCAAAAGTGTAACTCTATTCAATCAATTCGAACGAGCTTTTAAAATTATAAACTAATAGTTTTACGGAAGATGAAAAATATCTTAACTGTTTTGTATTTTTCAAGCTCAATCGTTTCAGTCCAATACAATTATAATATAACCAATAAAATTTAGTGTATATATAATATTAAATAAAATAGCGAAAGTTTTATTGACATGAGAGATATTGAAATAAAATATAAAATCTCTAAAAATATTATTATTCGTATATTTTCGACTATGTTGGTGGCAAACTGGATCTTGGCTTAGTTTTGATTCTAAATCCTAATATTTAGAAAAGTTGTAGGAAAATAATAATCGAAGTATTTATAAAATCCGATGAGAAATAATGCAATTCATTTGTTTATTTATTATTATAACATGCCGGAAAATTATTTTAATAATGACAAAAAATGCGTAGGACCATCAAACATTGTGATAAATAATATTGCTTCATAAGGTTGTATCTATGTATGTTATATGAACTAAAATATACTCTATTTCTATGTAGAAAAGATTTATTACTGTAAAACTTCGTTGTTAAAAGTTTATATTTAGAAGTGCTAACTGCTTCGATAGCTACGACATTCTGCTAATGATAATGTAAGAGTATAACACTTGTTTGCTTACCACTAATGAACTCGTATGTTGGGGAATACAAAAAATCTCCTTAACCTATATTTTTTACGTTTCACAAGTTAAAATCAGAAACGAAAATCTGTTTAAGTGACGTTTAGGCACAGTTTGAGACATTTTTAACTTTAAATTCCCAATTCCGAATCTGGGTGTAAGTCTAGAGATATCGTTGCGAAAAAGATTTTAACAGATAGTATAATATAATGTCGTTATTATAAAAGAATCACGATACTGACTGAACTAATAATAGAATATACAACTTTAAATATATTTTACCACATCTGAAATATATTAAATTCCTTCTTCAAATCTATATACAACAAGAGCTATTAGAGCTTTACCATGAAGCTAATATCGCAATGCAAACTTAATGGTAGAAGCGGGATGACGTTAATCTGCGTATAACGTTATCTCACAGAACCGTTGAATCGTTCTAATATTAACGCCTTTCAGCGTGAATTGTGTTTTATAATATAATATTTTACTATTTAAGTAAAGGACAGGTACAACCAACATAAAAGGAAAAATATCAAAAATTCATTTACACAAAGTTCTTACTTGCTACTGCTATTGCGCCAATATTATGCTGTAATTGGTGTTAGAATTTGATGTTAGATGTTATATATTATTTCGATATAAAAGAACTCTAATAATATCTCTTTCTATTTAATGTGTAAAAGATGGTGTATTGTAAAGCAAGGTTAACTTATTTTAATACACGTGTAACGTGTACTGTGTGTAAAATGTGGGTGATTATCGATGTCATAGGAAATGAGCTTTATTGTTACTATAAAAGAGTCAAAATTAGAATAACATAGCTCGTGCTAGATGAAACTCTAAAATCGTATGTACTATTTAGGTATTTTTACATTGAAAATTATGGTATACAATTTTATAAAAGGAGTGCAAAGCGCAGCACCTCTTTACCAGTCTAGGTGGGAACCATGTACATACCTAAATATTGAAACTTGACGAATTAAATCAGTAAGGGTTTTTGTTTGAGTGCTTCGTAATATTGTTACATATTAATTACCCTAAAAGTAATTTTAGCCAACAGGATTAAGTGAAATGAAATTATCCTTTTTTTTCTTTTATCCTCGACTATTATCCGATATATTTTGTACCTCACATCGCGTTATCGCGGACATAAACGTCAATGTTATAAATGTCTAATAGACGCACTGTATTCGTCAACGTCTACAATAATATCTGAGACATGAATTTGCTGTTTGTATATATCGGATAACTTCGGCATTGTAAACTTAGTTTCTTTATAAATAAGATCCATAATAATAATAATAATAGCTCTTAAAGTCGTCAATGTCTTTTGTTTATAAGTTATATATTCGATGCCACAACGATTTAAATCATGCCTAGTCTCTTATCTCGTCTCTTTCTAACTGTACCTTTCATCTTAAGTTTTTGTACATAATGAATTTGGTGCTACGTATACACAGGCATTATAGGAACAAGCTAAAAACAATACTAAAGCTATTTTAAAGTAACATGTATCGTAGAGTTGTTATACCTTGTGCAGTGTTGTTACGTTGAGTTTGTTTACCCGATTTTCGGGAAAATTAACGTGACGTACCGACTTGAAGTCGCATTTATTTATCTTCATAAACAAAAAAAAAACATGTAAGCATGGCCGATTTTGATTCTTATTTTTCACGTGTTTAGAAATTTATGTTGTGTTTCGGCTTGTTCTCATGGATAAAACTATTACAAGGTTTCACACCAAATTGTTTCAGATTAACTTAATCATAAGTTTTCTATTAAGGTAAACTTTAATTTGTAATTTTAGTTACAGACATTTTTGTATATCTTGTTATTTTTAATGTTTAGAAGTATATTCTATATTTTGAGAGCTTGTTAATAAAAGTCGAGCTATTTTAGTCGCCTCAAAATATAGAATAGTTTAATAATATATAGTAGATACATTTTATTATTTATAAATGGTTTAATCATAATCGATAGTTATTACATACAATGACGAGAAAGCATGTGCAATATATTGTCATAATACTCCACGTTATTATTATTTATGTGTAACGATTTTCAAAGCAAGCAATGCAGTTTTTTTGACACTTTGTCAGCACCACTAGTTATTTCGCTTATACTTATATTCGTTTGGGCGCTTATTAAATCCTCACATCGCGTTATCATGGACATAAACGTCAATGTTATAATTTCCAATAGAAGCACTGTGTTCGTGAACGTCTATAATAATATCTGAGACATGAATTGGCTTGTTATAACAATAAATTATTAAATCTCTTGGAAATGGTACCTTGTATGCAAACAATAACTGTGTATGAAGTATTTTTTGTTTAAAAAGAAATTATATTTTAGTTTTGCAAAATAAACGTTCAATTTATAATCTGTGGATGTCAAGAACCTAAACGCGGGGGCTATGAAAGATTACCAGGTGACGTCACATTTCAATAAACTAAACGTTAACGTCTTTGCGAGTGCAACCAGTACTAATGTGTATAGAAATGATCGCAGCTCGAAATGTCATGTAAATTGTTTTACATAAGTATATTTAAGGCAAAATTTAAATGAATGACTAAAAATATGTTTCTCCTATATTTAATAACACTTTTTGGAGAAAAATCTGACAGTGTTAATATGATTACGTGAAAGTTTTAAAATACTGATCCCAAAAAATTCAGGTAGCCAATTAATAAAGCGCCAATCAAATTCAAATAATATAGACACAGAGCATCTCGTTCACGCATTTTTTTACAAATTAAGTATATTATTGAATAAAATTACCTACAATTCTAAGAAAAGACTTTCTATTTAATTTTTAAAAATCTTGAAAGATTATTATACTGTTTAATATGCTTAATCACATTCGAACCCCATCTCGGAGCTCCAGGGACAAAGCGGATTTTTAAGAATTTTTTATTAAGAGCTTGAAATATCTTTCAAATTGCATTTTCCGATCATACAAAAGTTACAAACCTATTCTTTTAATCATTATGAAGAGTGTTACGAAGAACTAAGCCCATTTTTGTTTACCCAATCCAAAGATGTACACAATGCTTTATTAAAATATTATAGCGAATCATTAGTCTTGTTGAGTAGAAAATGGTGTGCATTATTTTATTTTAATGTAAAGGTAATTAAAGAAAAAATATACTCGTATTATAGTTTTTGTATTCAATGTTTCTTTTTTTATTTGTTTTAACATTAGAGGCTAAGTGTTTTATGTTCTTTTGATTTCACTAGTTACGAAGACACCACTTGACACCAATTTTGCAGAAAAGATAAAGTTCAAGCAAATTCGTGCATAGTTGATGGTAATTTAAAAAAAATGAGTCTGATTACACTTTGTGAATTCTCGATGTAAATAATATCTAAAATACCTACTGTATATCTGGGAAATGTATTTTTGTTCATACTATATAGGAAATACTTGATAACATCAATATAATGTTTATTGTTAATATTTGCAGTTTCATTATTAATGAATAAGTCCTCAAACAGAATAATCTACTGAGAAAGAATAACCAGATAGCTACGCACCATATACAAGCAAGGGAGCTACAATTTCTAATTTCTTTCTGATATTAATTTCAACTCTCATAATATTGTATATAAAGGTTTAAAATCAAATTGTAAAAATTAACAGTTTTGTTTAACCTGACTGACTAAAAACTGAGAAATATAACGGCGTAATGAAATCTGTGGCAGCTCGATTAGAAGGGCTATCGCCCATTTAGCGATATATAATGGGTTCTCTTGTCTGTCGTATGGGCCCCGATCTCGCTAAATATTTTCAACTGAACTGTAGCTGAAACTCAGTCGAAACAAATACTCAAACAAGCCTGAGGGAGGGCGTGAGTGGCCGCGTCGCGCCCTCCCAGCGCACGCAGCTGTCGGAGCTGCACTTCAGTAATTTCCAGTCCGTGTTACCAACCCTACTGTTTAAACATTCACATTAATGCCTCTGTTTTCTGTTTCATTCCAATTTTTGCTGATTTACAATTTAGCATTCAGCGCAACCTATTACAGTATGAAAATAACCGATTGTTATATTGGTGAGTTGTCGTTTTCTAATTCTTGGGGTTGGCAACAAAGTTCCCAGTATAGTATAGAATAGATTCTCCATGGGTCTGTGGCTGCACTGCGGCCGGGCTCGCCAAAATTCTTGGGGTTGGCAACAGAGTTCCCACTATAGTATAGAATAGATTCTCCATGGGTCTGTGGCTGCACTGCGGCCGGGCTCGCCAAAACGCACTTTAACGTTGGTTGGCCGACAGGGAATACAAAGACGGTAGTAAGATACAATAAAAGTATTCATACTATTGTCGTAGAAGATAAAATTAAATTTTTGAATAAAAGCAAAATTAATTGATACCTAGTTTATTTATTTATTATTCTATTTTTACAATAAACTATCCTAATAAAATATCCTAATTTATATAAAATAAATCTTTTAAAACTATATGTTTTTGGTGTTCTAATTAGGCAATCTTACTTTCTTGAATAATTATAGACTTTTTAAATAAGTAACAACTATCAGTCACTCACCTAAAATAAAAAATAAAAAAAAAAAGAAATAAAAATACCAAAAAGAACAAATTTAAAAAATTAAACCGACTTCAGACAGGTGAAATAAAGAGAATCAACTGAAAAGAGAGAAATAATACCACACAATTTTTATGTTGAATAAAATCGGAACACAAAAGTAGATCACCAACAATTTTTTGAAGTTTTCTTCATTACACCTTCTTGAAGTTGTTTTTTTTTATTTATTTCTTTTTTAATAATAGTAGTTATCACTGGCCCATATTACTAACTTCGAACTATAATAAATGGACTTCTTCCTCAGTATTTAATAAGTATGTTTGTGGGACTCCCCCTGTGGATCCACCCTCAGAATGGGGGCTAGGCAAAAAGTAGGGGTTTACCCACTAAAACTCAGCGATATCCCTCTCTACACAGGCGATACACGCGTAGAGGGACATCGCAGACGTACTATATCCTGCGCTGAAGCAGTTGTAACCTAACCCACTATTCTGGAAGCAATTCATTTTTATTGGGGTCGCAGTTCTCACCTCACCTGGTAGCACATAACATACATACATAACCCCATACATACACACATAAATAATATACACCTACAAAATGTAGCACACGAGATTAGAAGTGCAAATAGACTAACATATGAATATTGCGCCATATTCCAACAAAATTACATACATACAGGGCAAATTGATAACCTCGTTTCTTTTAGTCATTTAAAAATTTACAGTTCAAATTATAACTTCCATTTTGGAAGTCGATTAATAACGTACATACACAGGTAAACTGGCGGCCTCCTTTTTACTGTCAATTGTCATCAATTTTTTCTCCTTTTATAAGTAAATTTGAAAAGTTTATAATTTCAAAACCACTGAACCACTTTTAATTAAAGCTGTTGTGTTTCATCATCATCACATCAGCCGAGAGAAGCCCACTGCTGGGCATAGGCCTCCCCCAAAGATCTGCAACGTGATCGGTCCTGCGCCTCCCGCATCCAGCGGCTTCCAGCGACCTTCACCAGATGGTCGGTCCTCATTATGAGGGGCCTACCAACACTACGTCTCCCGGTACGCGGTCGCCACTCCAAGACCTTACCGCCCCAACGGCCGTCAGTCCTGCGAGCGATGTGCCCTGCCCACTGCCACTTGAGGTTCGCAATTCTTTGGGCTATGTCGATGACTTTCGTTCTTTTGCGGATCTTATCATTTCGGATTCGAACTCGCCAAGAAACCCCGAGCATACCCCTTTCCATTGCCCTCTGAGCGACTTTGAGCTTCCTTATGAGGCACATCATAAGCGGCCACGTCTCCGTTCCGTATGTCATCACTGGCAACACACAAGAATTGAAGACTTTCGTTTTGAGACACTGAGGTAGATGTTCCGAGAATACACTGCGTAGCTTCCCGAACGTTGCCCTGCCGAGTTGGATCCGTCGATTTACCTCTCTCTGGAAGTTGGACTTACCTAATTGGACTAAGGTACCTGGGTCGAATATGCCCGGTAGGTGTTATTTCAAAAACTAACAACGCGCGAAAGTCGACAACTTCACTCCGTGCACCCACCGATGCATGACCTTGAATGGCACGCCAGCCACGCGTCTCGCGCGCCGTTCAGTTGGCTGAAACGTACTGTGCTAGATAGTCGCGTGAATGTTACTAAAAAATTATTTCGATAGTTGCTCAAAATCGTTATAAATAGAACGATTCACTAGTACATCTATATCGTGTTGCAAGATTTGATTAGTATTCTATTGATGGGTAAGTGTAACTTGGAACTATTTGAATATTTTTTTATGTTATTTATAGGTTATGAAAAAATGTGTTGCAGGTAAATATGGCCACATTGTGACCATATTTCCCGTACGTAAATATATGTTTTTTTTTAACTTGTTTTTGTGTTTTCAGGAGATGGGGCGTTACAAATGCCGAGGTATACGAGGCAGATGGACTGAAGACAACATGATAAAGGCGTTAGCGGCGGTAAAACGCGGCGTGATGAAAGTTTATGCTGCCTCAAAACATTTTAATATACCCAGACGTACGCTCAAGAGATATCTCACTGATAATAAGATAAAAAAGGCATCCTTAGGAAGAAAACCATTACTCAGTGAAGAACAAGAAAATGACCTCGAGGCTCGGATCGTGCGCTTGTCCAATGTTGGGTATCCCATAACTCCATGTGTATTAAGGACTAGTGTTAAGACCTACTGCGAAATGAACAATATACCCCTATCGAGCAACAATGCTATGATTGGCCGTGATTGGCTGAGAGGTTATCTTAAACGTCATAAAGGCGTAAGTCGAAGAAAAGCACAAAACCTTAACCCAGCAAGAGCTCAAAAGCTCAACAAAATAGTTGTGGCTGATTATTTTGAAAAACTCCGTAAAGTCTTAGAAGACAATAATTTACTGAATAGCCCTGAACGAATCTTTAATATTGATGAGAAGGGGTGTCAGTTAAATCTTCATAAATCTCCTCAAGTTTTGGCTCAAAAAGGTACAAAGAGAGTGCATATAGTAGCACATGAACATGCAGAGAATGTAACAGTAGTGTCGTGTGGCAATGCTTTGGGTCAAGCTATACCGCCCATGATCCTATTTAAAGGAAAGCGGCTGAAGCCAGAGTGGAAAGACTCATTACCAAATGGAACAAATGTGCAAATGACTCCTAAAGGAAGCATGAATATTGATACTTTTGTTGAATGGATACACCATCTAGCTAAGTACAAACTTCCTGGGCCATGTCTCGTGGTGTTTGATGGAGCAAAATGTCATTTGGATTACTCCATCGTAGAAGCTGCTGATAAATTTGATATAAAGCTTTTTTGTCTGCCCAGCAACACGACACACGAGCTCCAACCAATGGACAAGTCAGTGTTTCGCTCATTTGAGTATTTCTGGGATGAGGAAGTGTTGAAGTATTGGGCGCATCACGAAGATAGAAGGATCACAAAACAAAGGTTCGGTCCCATATTTTCAAAAGTTTGGGACAAAGCTTTGACTCCCGCTAACATAAAAGCTGGTTTCGAGGCTACTGGAATTTTTCCGTTCGACCCAACAAAGATTCCTGAAGAAGCTTACGCGCCAAGTATTCCTACTCATGTATCGATTCCGGGAGACTCTGTTGATCCAACTACTAATGCTTCCAGCGACAGTGAAGATGATGTACCACTGTCGGCGTTTGTTTCTTCAACAAAAAGAGATTCTACAACGTCTTGCTCATCTGGATCTGAAGACAATACACAAAGCCCTTCATTCCCAATGAGGAAGTGTACGGCTACTAAAAATTTTATCCTAGGTCGATCCGAGATGTCTCGCGAAGATGAGACTGTTCATGATTCCGCAAGATTTCGAGAATCTGATACTTCAAATAAAAATACTACAGATACCAAATTATCTTCTTCTGAGATTGTAACTGTCTTAGACCAACTCTTGTTATCATCTAAGGACAGAAACATTCAGACTGCAAGTCCATCTTTGGTAGATAACGTTTTATTTGAGGCTCCAACTAAGGATTCAAATGTGGCTATTGAGGCATCACCTCCAATGTTTGATAAAGATTTAACCCCAGTCAAGGTTTCTGATATGGCTATAGAAGCTTCGGCTCTATTAGCTGCTACTTCAACCCCAGTTAAGGATATGGCTTTAGAAGACTCAGCTTTGGTAGCTGCTAAATATTCAACTCCGGTTAAGGAGTATATGGAAATTGAGGATTCAGATCCTTTGATTACCAAATCTTCAACTCAAGATTGTAACAACAAGACTGTGGAGTCTCTATTACCAATGCCATCAACTTCATCAGGCGCTAACGTATCATTCAAAATGATGTTCAAAACTCCACAGAAAATTTCAAATCCAATTGTAACTAGAAAAAAAGCTATTAACAGTCTAGCACAAGTATTAACTAAAGATATTTTTGATAAAGTTGCTAAGAAGCAGAAAGTGACAGTTGAAAGCAAAAGCCAAGACAAGAATATGGATAAAGAAGGAAAAGGAAAAGGGAAGGGTAAAGGCTTGAAGGAAAGACCGTCTAATGTGTCCTGGTATTGTTTTGTATGTCAAGAAGATAAAATTGCTGATATGAGACTATGCATAAATTGTGCATCTTACGTCCACGAGGAATGCGTGGGGCTTACTGCTAAAGATAAAGAACAATTCATTTGCATCCGATGCGAAAATTAAAAATAATAAAAGTTCAGTTGATTAGGAAAGTATAGCTGATTGTGATAATGTTGTTCTCTTTTTTATTATTTAAAATTTATTATTTGAAAAATTTATTCTTATTTGAATTAAGAAGATGATTACTTTAGTTAATATTATGTTACAGTTAAAATGGAAGTGCCATTAAGTATTAAGCTTCTTTTAATGCCATTAAGTTTCTTTACGTATTTAATTCCTAGATCTCAGAAGAATAAATCCAAAGTTTTTTGTTTTCTTTTTGTTAAATTATCTTTACCATTTATAATAACTAATACAGTTAATATGCCCATAGTAAGGGCATATTAACCAACATGGTCGGAAATATGGTCAATTCGCCATTTTTTTTTAAAACTTGTTTGGCCGCAATATCATTCATACCTTGGAGTATTTCTTATAGCCATATGATAAATAGTTAATATACATGACAGAAAATTGATTAAAGCTATTCCTAATCATCAAAACAAAAAAGATGTAGGAAGTTACACCTTAAGGTGACCATATTCGACCCAGGTACCTTATTTGTCCCAGGTAAACGTACTCGTCGACAGCTTCCAGTGTAGAGCCTCCAATATTCACTGGAGTGGGTACGACATTGGAGTTTGACATTATTTTCGTCTTCTCCATGTTCATTTTAAGACCCATTTATTGGGAAACTACAGAGATCTTCGAGCATTGTGCTTAGATCTTCCATGGTCTCAGCCATGACTACGATATCATCTGCGAAACGAAGGTGCGTCATGTACTCGTTGTTTCTAAAGGTGAAATCAAAGCAATTAAACAAAAAAGAATCATTGCAGTCCATGCAATTTGTGAGATATCCATGGACAAACATACATATCTACATCTATGAAATTTAGCACACATGTTTAGAAGTCATACAGATCAACATTTATGAATATTACGCCAATCCAACGAAATTACATTTATACATACGCCTCAAATTAACCTCCTTTTTGTAGAGGGTTAAAAAGTTTAATATAATCAATTATTTATATCTTCAAAACTACTGCACCGATTTTGATGACAATTGTAATGTTCCATAATTTGAAAGCTAAGCAACTAAACAAAAAAGAATAATTGCAATATGGCGTCTAGTTTCCGAGATATCCGTGAACGAACTTACATACATACATATACATCTATGAAACGTACGCTAATGTGCTTAGAAGCCCATGTGGACCAACATATTTGAATACTACACATTTCCAACGAAATTACAGACATACACCTCGAATTGATAACCTCTTTTTTAAGTCAGTTAAAAACCAATTTACTATTTAAAACTGTTTTCAATAGCAGTCATGGATCTTGTGGTCTCTCAAAATTTTGACCTTGGCCTTGTGACGCCAATACATACTGAAAACAGAAGATTTGTTAATTTATTAATATTCTTTTTATCACATATCAAGAACATAATACAAAATTTAGTACAATAAATTAAAAATATTACCAGGCGACTAAACCGATCAATGCTCTCTGCTATTAATTTGAAAGACTCTGCTAATGTCCTAAATGATTCAGAGTTATTCAGTTCCGTCTGAGCCCTCAACTCTTCACATCTTAGCACCATGGCTGTTGACTCCAATAAAGCAGTTTCGCTACCTGAAATATATTTTTTATTATATCTTAACGTAATTTAATATAACATACTTAATTTGTGTTTATGAAGATTATTCTTCATTGATGATATTAAGAAATTTATTATAATACACCACATTTGGCCCACTGCTGTGCAAAAAAAAATAGGCTTGTTTTTATTCATTAGTTTATTCATTAGATAAGCTCACTGAACTTACTATGGACTTGAGAAGACTGTGCTTGCCTTGATGGTGCTGCCACTGTTGAGGTTAATGTTGTACATTTTGGCCTATGTCTTTGCAGTGGCCTAATTACTCTTTCTAAAAATAAAAATATTTTGTAAAGTTAAACCATATCATATTAGCTATAACATTACATTTATGTTGAACCACGCTTGACTCTACCTGTTGCTTCAGAGGGAGAGTCTATATCTTCAATAGGTTGCTGATAAGGTTGTTGTGGTGGAGATGGTGAGTTGTCTGATTGTATTACTACAATACTATCATCACCTATTAACTCTTGTGGAAAGTTGAAACTGTGAAGAATTTAATAAATATTTATGAAATAAAATTATAATTTCAAGTTAGTGAAATACTTAATATTTTATAACACTTTGCTATATTACAACAAGGATAAACTCACTCAAATGAAGATGAACTATGTGCTTCATCAAAATTATGGATCTCAACTGCCTCCACTGCTACATTCCAACCATCACCACCCTAGTTTAAAAAATGTTATAAAGGTCAGAGTTTGTAAGGAATTATCTGCTTTATAGTATAGTTATGTTAATTTAACACAACATTAAAAACAAAAGTGAAATTTATTGTTTCCTTGTGGTACACTTTCTTAGCCAATCCAATTATGAAAGAAATTAGATATGAATAAATACTTAGAATCTATAGAAAACAGAATAATAATAGTAACCTATATTTTTTTATATTATTATGTACTAAAAAACAATTAAACCCTGTCTATCACTTATGAAAAAAAATTGATTCTACCGGAAAAATCAAATTTGAGGGCAAAACTGCAATATCAGAAGTTAATATGAGAACTTTTTGAAAATGCTCAATTATAATGGAACTTGTTTAACCCGTCTCGCGATTTTTTGAACACACAGGTGTGCAAACGCTTCAAGTGCGTTTTGTGACTTAATCGCGTGACGGGTTAAGACTCACAGAATGAGTTAATTGGTCTTGCTTAATATTAGGTAGGGGACCAATGATGTTGAGTATTCGTTCCTCTAATGGTGTAAGAGTAGGTGCACTTCTTGGGCCACTACCCATAGCACTAAGACTGCTATTGGTTTGCACCAGTTTGGTTCTCACTCTGCATTTTTGGTCATTCCATACCTGAAAGTGGGAAATTTTGTTGATTTGTCATGAGTAGGTAATTAAACATAAATTAAATACAACTAATTACACTCATTTATTTATGGAAAATGATATATAATCAATAGTGGATGTAATGGTTTTTAAATATCACCCAAACCTGTTTAGTGGTATGTTGGTTTGGACGGTATTAAAAATTTAAGGAGAACATTAGGTATAAGATTTAAATTTTTTAATTATACTTTCTCTGATTTTAACTGAATTCGAGCTTACCTTCGCCCATTCTTTGCCTGTTCTAGCTGGTCCTAAAGGATTGAGCAATTCGGCGCATTCACGCCACAATCGAGCCGCCAAGACTCGAGCCTCCTTAGACCTCATCAGTCCTAGGGCAAGGTCACGATGTTCTTCCATAAACTCTAGAAGAGCTTCGAGTTGAGGGACCGTTGTAGATTTGCGATTACTTGCCATTTCTACACCAAAAATGAGTCAAATACTGCTTACTACAATCTTTGATTCAGGCTACAATTACTTCTCTATTAAATTAACATAGAAAATACTCACCAGTTAATTTCACGAAGTGCACATACAACACGAACGAGTTGTTAAAGCTACGTTTCAGATACAACCACTTAAAATAGCTAAGTTTCAAGTGCATTTTTTAACCACTTGAATCAAATTTTTGTTATTCCCGCTAACATCATTCCGAAATTCCGTAAAAAAAAAAACTGTTGAATTTAGTGCTGACAACACTTTAAATGGTCAATCGACAGTCTAAGTATATTGAAATAACTAAAAAATAACAATGCTCGACTACAACTCCTCGTATGCTTCAACTCCGATTTCTTTTCGGTTAGCGTTTTATCTTTAGCTTAATGAGATAGGAAGTAGGTATTTAAAAAAACGAAAGCTCTAAAAAAGCACCTCCACTGGATGGCGGCTCAAGCAAAAGTTAATTTAGGATTGGGCAAAACTATCGATATATCAAAACATCGATATTTTTTTTCTAAAAATATCGAGCTCTCGCTCGATATGTCGACACCGAGAATCTCAATATTGGCTGAGGCAGTTAGGGGAATGTTTTGAAAGCAAGGTGATACGACAAATGGGGCTTTTTGGCGGTGAACGCGCAAACCTGTGTCTTAGTAGGTTGAAGTGGACCAAATTAAGTCGACCCCAGTTAGAGACTTCCTATAACGAAGATTCAATATCAGACACAAGTTGATTCCGGCTCTCAATGACGCTTTCCTGAGAAATATTAGCACGACCGTTATAGGTGGAGTCCTTCATGCTGTCATCTGCCTAACAATGAATACAGCTAATTTGCAGCATGTCATTAATATGCAGAAGAAAAAGTGTAGGTGATAGCACACTTCCTTGGGGAACACCAGCATTTATAGATAGTAGGTCTGAGCATTCACCGTCGATTAAAACCTTAGTGCTTATGTGTGCCAAAAAACTAGTGACCCATGCACATAATTTCTCCGGAAGCTCATACGAGGGAAGGTTTGATAGAAGAGAGAACCCTGTAATACTCCCACGAACAAATAGGTAACTTTACTCTTTGGTCGGGGAACTCCCGATGGATGAATGAACGGATCTTACAGTTTTATTTTAACAAAACAAATTAACCGTTTCTTACTAAATGCACATGTAAGTATACACGGTACATATCTATACCAAAATAATATTATTTACATTTTTTGTCTGTCTGTTTGTTCCGGCTAAACTCTAAAACGGTTAGACCAATTTTGACTTTCACTGGCATATAGCTTATGTAATAAGGAATTACTAAGACTACTTTCCACGCCGACGAAATCGCGGCTACAGCTAGTTTAATTCTATAAATTTGCATTCACAATGCTGGTAAAGCTCTGTTTTGGACGTGCTTTATAATTTGGATGTCTCAAAGGGGCCAGGAATGGATAATATACCTCCAGCTTTCCTTAAACACACGGCAAAAACAATATGTCATCCAGTGCAGTACATATTTAATTTATGCTTGCAGAAGGGAGAGTTTCCTACAATCTGGAAATCAGCTCGTATAGTTCCAGTATTTAAGGGTGGTGATAGATTCAGTGTTGAAAATTACCGACCAATTTCTATCTTACCTGTCATGTCTAAGCTACTTGAGAGGTTGGTTCATAATAATATTTATCCAAGTTTACATAATTTTATTATACCACAACAGCATGGTTTTGTCAAACAGCGATCTACAACCACCAATTTGTTAGAGTACACATCACATCTTTTTGAAGGTATAGATGCTAATAAACAGATTGATGTTATATATACAGATGTCCAAAAAGCCTTTGACAGGGTTGACCATCGGTTATTACTTGAAAAACTAGCATTCAATGGCATACGTGGAGCACTCTGGCGGTGGTTTAAATCATATATTACAAATCGCACTCAAAAGGTTGTTATTAATGGACATGAATCCAACTTCGTTCCAATAAGTTCGGGGGTCCCTCAAGGTTCAATATTAGGCCCTCTGCTATTTGTACTGTTTATTAATGACGTCCGGAATTGCTTTAAATATTGTAATTTCCTTATGTACGCTGATGATATAAAAATTTATCACACCATAGAGAGTAGTAGTGATCAAGACAAGTTTCAGTCCGATCTCAATAGATTCTCTAAGTATTGTCACGAAAATAAGCTAAAACTAAATACTAATAAATGTAAAGCCATTACTTTCACAAAAAAGAGAAAGATATATAACAGCGAGTACCATTTTAATGGTACAATACTCCAAAAAGTTGAGGCTATTAGAGATCTGGGCATCATATTAGATAATAAGTTGCATCTTGAACAACATATTAATGATATTGTCAGCAGATCCCTCAAGATGTACGGTTTTGTGATGCGCATTAGTACCTCATTTAAGCAAACCCTTTACTTACCTTGCACTTTACAGGTCCCTAGTTAGATCACAGCTAGAATATGCGGTACCCATCTGGAATCCTTTTTATAACAAATACATAGAAACACTTGAAAATGTCCAAAAGAAGTTCTTACAGGTTATGCATTACAGATGTTATCATTGTTAGTTGTCCTACGACCAGCTATCAAAAAAATATAATATAATCGATCTAAGTCAAAGACGTACTTTACTTGAAATGAACATGCTTTACGAGCTATGTCATAACAAATATGACTGTATCTCTATAATAAATAAACTTAGTTACAGAATACCAACCAGAACTCACTGTAGAAATCAATGTAAATTATTTGCAACTGCCCGATGCCGAACAAATGCCGGCAAGCGCTCGCCACTTTACCGTATGGTTAATACATTTAACATATCATTTAATTCTATAGATATTTTAGCGGTGAGTCCTGGTATATTTAAGAAAATGTTGCTTGAAATACTCCCTTAAACACATAAGTAGTCTATATTAGTAATAGTTTGGAATTTTATAACTGTATTCTTACAAGAGTTGTAAAAAAAAACCGAGTAATTAAAATATTGTTAATGTAGTAAACGGTGTTGGTGGCGATTTTAAAATTTATTCTATATTTCTACTTTTAACTATATTTCAAATAGTCACTGTTTGTTTACTCCAATAAATGAAAAAAAAAAAAAAGTTAATATTGTCTTAAAATGGATTTTAATTAATTTGGATTTTATTTAATTGACTTTTTTCATTAACTTCACCACCACCACCACCAGCCCTTTTACGTCCCCACTGCAGGGGCTCAGGCCTTCCTTATGGATGGTTAAGGAGAATGGGCCATGACCCTCCACGCTGGCCCAATGCGGATTGGAGGGTATTAACGACTGCAAATGCAGCCGGGACCAACGGCTTAACGTGCCTTCCGAAGCACGGAGTAGCTCGAGATAATAATTTTGGTCACCCATCCCGTGACCGACCCTTGCGAAAGTTGCTTAACGATTACGATCGCGGGCCGCGGCGCTTATCCACTACGCCACCGAGCTACTCATGTATTAACTTGGATGCTTTAAAAATACGATGGAATTATTCTGAAATCATTAATAAACTTTTGTGGTAAAAATATTTAATAATCATTGACATGAATAGGTTATTATTAATCGATTACGAGAGTTACTATAATCCAATATTCGATGAATCGGCACATCATTAGTCTTTGATCTATTCGTTTTCAACTTAGGGATGCAGAAATGGGAGTAAATATCGATATATATCGTATCGATATTTTTCAAATGTATCGATAAATATCGACAAAAATATATTGATATGTTGATGTATCGTTATTTTCTGCGTAATAGGCGATTATCAATGAAAATTTTCAAAATATTCGAAACTTTGAAGTAACTACACACCTGGCTGTTTTGACATCAGTTTTATTATTTAAAATAGATACATAAAGCTAAGAAAACAACATTATCAACACAACAAAAATAAGATTATTATCTGATATTGACATTGGGAGCATACTCAGTGATACCAACAAGCAGTCAAGCAGTGTTATTGTGATTGACAAACAAAAAAGACAAGCAGGTCATAGACTTAACTCATACAGCCTCTGTTGGTCACTTAGAGGGTAAGGCTAAATTAGCATCTAAGAAGCTTGGTGTGCTTAATAGATCGAGGCAGTATTTCACTCCAGCACATCGCCTGCAGCTTTACAAGGCGCAAGTTCGGCCCCATATGGAATACTGTTCTCATTTTTCGGCTTCTCCCTCTAGACCACATTCAACGGAGAGTGACTCGAATCATCGATTGCCAGGACACTTCAAGTCGGCTTGAATTTTTATTTACAAGTAGCCCTACTTACATGCTTAAATCATATGTCGCACTTAGCTCTATATAAAACAGATAGTAATGAATAAAGCGAGATAGCAGGCGCTCGACAGCGCTTGCGCGGAGGCAGCAAGGTTATAAATATAAGCGGCGGTGTGTTCCGCAGCTCGCCAGTGCGGCGTTTGCTACGACGCCGTGCGCCGTGTATGTATCCCATAGATTCATACCTGCCGCTTTTTTCCGCCATAGTTCCATGTGACAGGAAATCCACGCCTATCATTTGGATGGTTGGAAGTCCTCAACTTTGCGTTTTTCGAGAAGTTTCCTGCCTCGCATAGCCAAACTCTGAAACAGTTAGTCTCCAGCGGTATTCCCAGACCAATACGACCTTCAAACTTTCAAGCGCAGAGCATATTCGTTCCTCAAAGGTCGGCGGCAAAATGGGCGGCGGTAATCACTCACCATCAGGTGATCCGTATGCTCGTCTGCCCCTTATGCAATAAAAAAAAGGGTTGCCATAATAAGTAAAAGAAAATCTACTAATAATATTCACACTCACAATCCGCTAAGGGTTCCTGAGCCATCGAAGTAAAGTAAGTAGGTACTATACTAATGTTTTTAACTATTCCTATTGCTAACGTTTTTAAAAATTAACGATGGTTAATCATCGACTAGGAAATCATAATCTATAGTAACTCATCAATTGAATAATCGATTAATCATTAATGGTAATCGATTCCGCACACCATTACCAACGACAGTCATTTCTCCTCTTATTTTTGCCATTTCGGAGACGTGGCTTCCTAGGAATATTTCTTTCAATATTCCTGGATATCTATGTCTGCGCGATGACAGAGATGATGGTTATGCAGGAAGTGCTCTCATTATTAGTAACTCCCTACTATTTACTCAAGTCCCACTTCCTGTTCATAATAGGGATCTAATTAATGCTGTTGCTGTTAGAATAAATAATATTTCTTTTCTTTCGTTATATATCCCACACCCAAATGTATCTGTTTTATTGGAACTCAGGGTAATTATTTCTGCTTTACCACCACCTGTGCTTATTTTGGGTGATTTCAATGCTCATCATGAGTCATGGGGCTCCTATCACTCCGATACCTTTGGCAGTTTAATTATTGATTTATTAGATGAGCTGGACTTATGTGTTTTGAACAATGGTAGACCTACAAGGAGAAACTCCCCATCACAGAACCAGAGTGCAGTTGACTTATCCATTTGCTCTTCGCGTCTATCTTCCCTTTTTTTATGGGATGTTTTAAGTAGTACCTTTGGTAGTGATCACTTTCCCATTCTTTTAACTTTACCTGACCGTACGCTCACAACATTCAGTAGTACTCCCCTTTTGAAATTTGATTTAAATAAAGCTGATTGGACATGTTTTTCTTTAGAAGTTAAAAATAAATTAAATTCATTACCTGAGATTTCCAATGCAAGTTGTTTGACTGCATATGAAGCCTTCACGGAAACTCTTCTCAGTTCTGCCAATTCTCATATTCCCACGAAATCAACGATACGTAAAAGAAATTCTCCACCATGGTGGGATTCCGAATGCACAGACATTATCCGTAAGAGAAAGGAAGCAGAGAAGAAATACAATCTGTCTATGACTGAAGAAAACTTCTCTCAGTACCAACAAATAGCTGTTCACTCCAAAAAATTTTTATCTCAAAAAAAGAAACTTGGTTGGACTAGGTTTTGCGAAAGCATGTCTCCTCGCACTTCCGCAGGCATGGTTTGGAGACAAATGAATCGATTTCGTGGTTCTATGAGGTCAAAATCTGTGTCAGCTAACGATCCATCAGGATGGGTTACCGCATTTGCTGATAAACTCGCTCCCTCGTTTGTTCCGAACTATGACTATCTTCCTATAAAAACATATGACATCATCCCATCTGTTGGTAATTTAGATAATCCTTTCACCTTGCGGGAACTTGACTTGGCACTTGGAGGTCTTAGAGATACTGCCCCCGGTATAGATGGTATTCCATATTCGTTTCTTGTTAAGTCGAGGGAAGAAACCAAACTATATTATTTGAAATTAGTTAATACCTTTTACCATTTAGGTATCATCCCTGAATCCTGGAATAAGCAACTAGTTATCCCTCTGCTTAAACCTGGCAAAGACCCTTTGGACTATAATTCTTATAGGCCCATTGCGTTATCGTCCACCCTTTTCAAAGTGTCAGAACATATGATCAGGAATCGTCTAGAGTGGTTTTTTGAGAGTCAAGGTCTTTTGGCTAAATCTCAGTTTGGTTTTCGAAAGGGTTTCAGCACTCTGGATAATTTAAGTATACTTACGACTGATATTCGTATAGCTTTTAAGAAAAAGCAATATGTAGTTGCTGCGTTTTTAGATATAGCAGGCGCCTATGATAATGTCCTTCTTCCAATTCTCAGACGTAAATTGATTCAGTTGAGTGTTCCTGAGAAGTTGGTTCGATTCATAGTTAATTCTATTTCAGCTAGATCTATTGAAATCAAATGTCATGGAGCGCCTTCTATAGTCAGGTCTGTTTGGTATGGTCTACCTCAAGGGTCGGTTTTGAGTCCCCTGCTATATAGTATCTATACTTATGACCTAGAGAGCGTTGTAGATTCATTCTGTCAAGTCTTACAGTATGCAGATGACGTAGCCCTCTATATAAGATCGAATTCAATCGAGGAAGCTTGCTTTCGCCTCAATACTGCGTTAAGTTATCTTGGTGATTGGCTAATGGATCACGGCTTGTCACTATCAGTTTCTAAATGCTGCAGTATAGTGTTTACCAGAAAGCGTAACATTCCTACAGCTCAAATAGTTTTTCAAGATGTCCCTATTCCCATGAATAACCAAGTAAAATTTTTAGGCGTTATTCTAGATTCTAAATTATCAGGAACTCCTCATTTCCATAGTGTTGTAAATAAATGCGAGAAAGGGGTCAATGTTCTCCGTGCTCTTTCGGGTGTATGGTGGGGTGCTCATCCATTCACTCAAAAATTAATATATAATGCCCTAGTCCGCTGTCATTTCGATTATGGCTCCTTTCTTTTAGACCCATGTAATAAGTTGCCACTTGATAAAATTTCTAAAGTTCAATCTAAATGCTTGCGGATTATTATAGGTGCCATGAAATCGTCTCCTATCAATAGTCTCCAGATCGAATGCGTTGATCCCCCTTTGTATCTGCGTAGGCAATTTTTGAGTGATCGATTTTTCCTTAAAGTTATACAACGTGCATCCCATCCTTTACTTAAAAAATTAGAAATATTGTTGAAAGTTTCTAGTACTTCCTCCAGTTCATCGGTAGGTGTCTCTTGTATCCTCCATAGCTACAAAAAATTCCATACTCCTTCCCTTCCCATAGAACGGTATTCTCGTCTTCCTCTTTTTGAAAATAGCTTTGAATCACTTATTTTTGAGCCGATCATTCTTCTTGATTTTGGAATCGACAAAGACTCTCCATATGCCATGCGTACAATGGCACGGAAATTAGCATCGGAATATAAAGGCTGGATTTCTATGTACACTGATGCGTCCAAGCAGCATGTTAATGATCCAGTTGGATCAGCAGTATGGATTCCCGCTCACAGATTAGTATTAAGTTTCAAAATTCCCTCTCTCTCTTCTGTATTTACAGGAGAAGCTTTAGCTCTCCTTGAGGCCATCCTATTTGCCGAATCTCATAACTTTAACAAAACTATCATTTTCACAGATTCACAGAGTTGCTTACAGTCTATAATATCACATCCGTTTCGTTCTAAAAATAAATTTCCAATAATAATTAAAATAAGACAAGCATTGCATAGGTGCCATCTTAAGAAGCTGCTCATTACCCTCGCATGGATACCGGGACATTGTGGTATTCCTGGGAACGAGACAGCTGATGCATGTGCTAAGCAAGCTGTTATAACTGGCTCTTTAAAATATTCCAAACTTTTTCATCACGATCTCTTTGTACTAGCACATGAACATTTAATGAGGTCATGGAATGTTGATTGGGAAAATACTAGAAATAGAGCGGGAAAGTATTATTTTGAAATTCAGAGAACTATCCCCAGTACTCCCTGGTTCTTTAAGGAAAAGCTTTTAAGTAAAAAAACGATTTCAATTATTTGTCGCCTGAGAATTGGACATGTGTGTACGCCGGTTCGACTTGCCAAATTTAAAATTAAAGACAACCCCCTCTGCGATTGTGGCATTGAGGAAGGAACTACGGATCATATTTTATTTAATTGTTCAAATTTATCCATTTCGCTTTATGATTTGCTACCATCAAAAGTTCCACGTCCAACAAATATAAAATGTATCTTGAGTATGGAGAATCCCAGCCCATTCAAAATTTTAGCAAAATTCTTTGCAATCAATAATAGTCTTAATTTATAAATATATTTGTTTTCTATATACATTCTATTTGTATTATCTTTAACAATGTAATCAGATAGACGCGCTCAGAGCTATTTTTTTTATTTTATTGAAATTCAAAATTTTACATATTTTATTATTGTTTCTATACGTGTAAAGACCACAAACGTGACATTGGCGGAATTGTGTAAATGCAAATAGGCCATGAATTAAAAAAGAAGAAGAAGAAGACAGTCATTTCCGTTCCTTTTATATAACATATTAAAAAATTGAAATTTGAAAAGTTCGAAACTTAGATATCACTACAAATACGAAAAAGTACAAATAAAATATGAGTTGTTTATTGAGTTTTGAAAACTAATTTTTGAAAATTAATCTTTTACTACGTCAGAAAGAAATTTGAATGGATGCCATAGACAATTATCCAAAAATCGCTAGCGAGTTTGATTCCGCGTACAATTTTTTTTTTACATTTCCTCCTTGATTATGAAAACAAACCTCCGCTTTCCTGATACTACCAATATAAGAAAAGTAACTCAACATAGTGATGATTGGTTCAAATCGAAAAATAAAATGTAAACGGTTGGCAGTCGTCTGTCATCGCAACCTGCTGTAAATTGTACTTGTGTGATGTGAATTGTAAAACGAAATTAATAAGTTTGTTTATCTCTAAAAATATGGTCATCTCTTTATAAATATTGTGCAGCCATGATCAATGAAATTTATGAATTAAACTTACAGTAATAATTATAATGTGAATATTACAAAAAAATATCAAAGTCAGGTGGGTTGTATTGTGAAAATGCGAAGTGTTACAGTCCCATCTCGGTGGATAACTCGCTGTAAATAGTTTTTTTTGGAAGAGGAAATAAATTTTCACTGAGAAATAGTTACATGTACGCAGCGGGAATGACAATAATGGCAGTTTCTGTTGGAGAAATATGCGAGAATACAAAGCTGGCCCGAGAAATGGCTCTCATGGGGAATTACGAGTCGGCTCTCGTTTACTACGAAGGAACAGTGCAGATGATCCATAGACTGCTGATCACTATCGCTGATCCCACACGCAAATCCAAGTGGCAGTTGGTGAGTTATCCACGTTTTCTGAGAATCATTACAAACTTTGTCGTAGTAAAACTTGTTTGCCTTGAATAGTGACATTACCTTTTGAGATAAGGACGTTAATTATTTTCGCCTTTTGAAGGAAGGCGGAAGGCCACCCGCGTCGACGTTGGGATTGCCCTTTATCACTGTTTATGAAAACTATAGTATACTTTATAACTGAAGTTAAATAGGAAGATAGTAGGTACATAATTTTTTTACTATAACTTTTATTGTTACAAATATTAAATATTCATGTTTGTTAATAAATAAAAATACATAATCGTGATATTTTCATCAACATGGTAATATAAATCTTGTTAGAAAACTGCCTTCATAATCATTTATCATTATTATTTTAAAAAGATATAGTTGAATATACAGAAACATAGTTCCTCATTCTCAAATATTTGTAACACCAACAACTTATTGCATTTATGTAATTTTGACATGCATTAATTCATAATATAATTATCAAATATCTGGTTAAATTCAAAGTTTAATTTGGGCTCCCTACACAACATACAAAAAGCAGTCTATAAATTATGAAATAAACTGAGGCAATGCCAATAATTAAAAAGAAGAATTCCTTTAAAGTCAAAAACTATTCATACAATATCGGCTGCATTGTTAGACATCCTGATTTTGTAAAAGTCCCAATTTTTAGCCTTGATTTTAATGTAAAGGGCAGGCCCTGCCCTCTACTTTGATTATTAAAAATCTCTGGCTTTTGTTCATGTTTAAAAATATTGTAGATTACTTTTATTACAGAAAGAATAAGGGTCAAAATTGTTTCCATATACATTTTTATGTAACTGTTCTGCTTTTCAATGATTCATTATGTTATTAATTATTATCAATTCATTACAGTGAAGTTTATTCTTTGTTAAAGATTTTTCTATTTGATTGCATCAACTCATTCAAACATACTGGTTTAATTTCTCTTAAATGTTTTTTGAAAGTTTAAAATATGACACTTGATTTAGTTTATCCTTAATTTTCCGTTTCAAAGCTCAATCAGACAATTATAATTGAAAATAAAATACCCAGGTCTTAACATTCCCACCATGTTTATATTAAACTCATCAAACATAACTTTTCAATGCCTTTTGAACCTTGAAATAAAACTTTCATTAGATTCCCTAAACTTGAATTTTTTATTCCTAATGATAACTTAAATTTTTTATTGTTAAAAAATTGTAGTAGCTACATAATTAGCATTAAATTTTAGTGACTAAATAGGCTACGGCAGAAAAATGTTTGGGAAACATTGGTCTAGGCTGAAATGTTTGGGAAACATTGGTTACAAGGACTTGTTAATGTTAAAAGCTAGGCTAATGGTTTACAAATCTATCATGGAATACCTTGTACAAAGTAGAATGGGCAAGATACTCAGCAAAAGCTGCTTTTTACTCTGTTTTATTTCAGAAATGGAGCAAATTTCAACTTTTGGTTTGCCAATGATACATGAACAATAATAAATGTTTAAAATTGCCATTATTATACAATTCCAGGAAAAATATTGAATTTTCAGACAGAAAGGACAATGACCCTACTTAGGTTAGGTTTCATTATTAATAAATATTTAGATGTGGTCTAAAATAATTCTGGGATTATTTATTTATGTTATTTTGGTCAAAAATTTGTGAAAAAAGGTTTCTTATGATTGAATTGTTGAAAAATTTTGACTACAAATCCTGTTCATTATTTCAAATCACTTTTTCATTAAAGGGAGTAAAGCCAAAAGACTCCCCTGTCTATTTAATTGAACCCGCCAATGAGATAGCTAGATAGCAACAGAGGATTTATTTTAATAATTTATATACATGTTAGACTTAAAATGTAACTTACAGCCAATCATGGGTTTACCATGTTCATTTTACTTTTTTTTTAAATATGCCTCAAGGTGCAGTTATGCAATGTTTTGTGAATTTAGGGGTATTTTTCTGAATTTTTTACTATGAAATTACCGAGAAAATTATTAAAATCATGTTTTGACTTTGACATACCTGTAAAAATATGAAATAGATTTTTTCATTTTTGCTTATTTGGGCATTATTTTTTTTTACCATAAGAATTGTTTAGTGATTTTGGGAGTATGCAGTTAAGGCTCATATTTCACCATTATTTTATAAACAATTTTCAGAACTTTGCATGGTACACAATCAAATCTGTTTTCATTATAATTAGGTGGTTAAGTTTTTTAGTATGGGTCATAAACTGAGTGTGCGAGACATCACCCAATTTACTTTTTTATAGCTTCATTGAATGAGTAAGTAACATTAATTTACTGAGGTCAACGATACTAGCGCTGAATCACTCATACTCCACCCACGTACATACAATGTGCAGAATCTATAGGCGTCTGTTGAAAAAGCTAATAGAAAGTTTGTATTCAAGTCAGGTGTGATATTGGTACAGACATCTGAGATTTTTTTATTATGTATTTAACAAAATTCACAGCTCTTAATAATTTATTTTTACAAATATTGTAATTAAGTGTAGATGTTTGTCTATATTTTCATGTATGTATATATATATGAAGTCCCTGCCAAGTTCTTTTTGTTGCCCTATGGATTATCTGACACCCATTTCGACTGGCAGAGAATGCCGTATGGCATTAAGCCCGTCCTTTGCTGCGTTGCAATAAAGATTAAATAAATAAATACAACCTATAACACATAGCCATTTGAGGATTTAAATTTTTCATCACAACTTACAATTGAAAGAAGAAAGTAATAAAAATGCTTTTACAGAATAACTTTTCTGTGCAATTAAATAATTGTTACATGTGAATCATCTCTCGAGTAGCGTCAATCTGTGTGATAATGTAAGAAGAAGATCTAAGAACAGATTGATAGACTGAGAAAGATGATGTGAATAAAAAACGAATAAATGTTGATATGATGACGGGTTAAGAAGTATTGAAATAATGCTTTAAATTTACTACCCACAAGAAATAAAATTGAAGACAATACTCTGTTCAATTTAAAATACATAAGAGATAATAAAGCCATACCTGTAATTAATATCTTCACCATTAAAATATATATTACCATAATTAGACATCAGATTAGTAATATAAAACCTTGTTTATCATGATATCTACATTTCAAATATAGCTTCCTCATTTTTTGTATCTATAAACGCAGAGATGGGCAAAAAGATATTTATGTTCAGTTAAAAAAATAGATTAAATCTGACAGAACTAATATACTCACTTGATCAGAATTCAAATGATGGTTATGACATCGGCAATAGGTGTTAAAAAAAATAATTAGGTATTAAAATAATATTAAACATATACGCATGTACAAAACAAGTCAAAAATGCGAATATTATAGACCAAACCTCAGTAGGTTTCTTACAATGTTTTCTAGAATTGGAATTGTATAATATTCTTCAGAGACTCGAATCTTTAATTTAACTATCACATAGACCATGTTGTAGCCGCTTTTCGCAGGTTGGGTTTCGTTCTTAGAATCAGCAAGCCATTTAAAAATACAGACACGCTAAAGATACTTTATTTTTCTTTCGTTCGCTCTATCCTTGATTTCTGTAGTACTGTTTGGAATCCCTGTTATAATATTCACGTTAACAATCGAAAGAGTTAAAAAAAAATCTTGAAATCCCTTAATCATAGAAATAGCAGCAGTAACATGACATAATATATTGAAGCACTGAATAAATGTAACTTGCTTACTCTTCGCAATCGCCGCGTTATGTTTGATACAGTTTTTCTTTATAAGATTTTACATTCATTTATCGACTCGTCAGAGCTTCTTGGCCATGTTCAATTCTCCGGCCGAACTCGTCTCTCTATACGCTCTTCACGTATACTACCTCTTTTTGTTCCCCCGCGACGCAGAAAAATTACACCCGAAACGCATTCTTTTATCGTTCCACCACTATATATGTATGTATAATTAGAAACTGACAATCATATCTTTAAAACATCTCTAAAGAATATTAAAAATTAACTTAAAAGAAAATAAAACATAATTATAATTGTTTAAAATAAATAGTTTTTTTATTTTGTTACATAATGGTTGGTCTTCTCTGATTTGATTTTTATTGTAATCACTCGCATTTTTTTGTTATTATTGCATGAATATTTGTCTGATCATGTTTTAGCACGAAAATACTTTTTTTTTGTACTAAACTTAGACACTGTAGGTATTTTCAATCATTATTGTTCGTGAAATTATTGTTATTTTACATGGCTGTTTGATGCCAAAATAAATGAAAAAATATATATATTCAGTAAAACTTGGCAGTAAAAAAAACCTTAAATTGGCGATAAGTTACAACTTCAAGTATTAAGGATCAGGATAAAGTTTCTACATTATTAAAAGTGAATCCACTTAATTCGACCATTACACTTGACTCCAAAATTATATCGTCCATACATTGTTTACATTTTGATTTTAATATGATTATAGCCATTTAGTTAAATTATGTATTCTTCTAGTCCACTTGACTCTATAATATTTGGCAAGAATCAAGAGCCAGAAAAGGGCATATATAAATCTATCCAAAACTTCTTATACATAATTTCTCAGAACTAAAAGATTACCTTTGATTTGATTGGAATCGGCTTCAAATCAATAAATTCGAAGCCAATGGACGTTTGTGCAACTGATCGTAAGTGGAATAACCCTTAAAAGTTTTGGAAAGGTTCTCCATTTCTCATTATTATCAAAACAAGACGCATCTTTAGGTAAATCGTAGATGATTAATCCTGTTATCGTGTAGATAAGCATAGAAACCTTGGGCGATATTCATAATAACACCTGCCTCTATATAGGTTTGATTTCCACCATAACCTCTCATCATCGATTCTTATTTGCTCTTCTGCAATTTAGCCTGTCAGATTTTCTGTTTTCGTTTATAATGTCCAGCCTGTGGCGTTTCCTTCGATTCACTCTGTTTACGTACAGTGAAATGGGTCTTTGTTTTAGTTTGAAGTGCTTTCGAAAAGGGAA